TAGGATAGATAAAGAAGAGTGCCATCTTCTCTGCGCCTTGTTTTGTCTCTCCCTCTTCTCTATTCATCTCTCTTCTATTCTTTTCTTTGCTATTCCACTGAAATTGGATTCCCTGTATCTCTCCTCTGTCCTTCTCTCTCGCTCCTCTTCTCCTGTTCCCCTCTAAACGATTGCTCTTTACAGATAGGTGCCCTCCCTCCTCGTCAGGAAATCTCTTTTCGCTTATTTTGCTTTTTGAAGCGAATAAAACAACGGATAAGAGAGGAAAGGGAATGACTAAGTAAAGACAGGAGCTCTTCAATAGGTGCCCTCCCTCCTCTTCAGGAAATCTCTTTTCCCTTATTTTGCTTTTTGAAGCGAAGAAAACAACAGATAAGAAGAGAGGAAAGGGAATGACGAAGTAAAGAGAGGAGCTCTTCAATTTCCCTCCCTATATCTGATGTTACTTTTCCTTCTTGGGCGGTGCCCTTCTTTCTCCCTTGAAGATGCAGAAAACGATCAGGAAGGGCACCCGTTCCATCGCCCGTATATAGACAGAGATAAATCATGAGCATCAGCTGGGTTTGCTGCCGATCCAAAATGGGCGTCCCTTTTAATCGCCTTCTGTGTCTTGAAACGAGCAAAAGGGGCACCCTTACTAAGTGTTTTCTTGTAGTGTCCCTTTTCTTCGCTTGAAGACGCAGAAAACGATCCAAAAAGGACACCCGTTCCATCGCCCATATATGGGGACAGAGATAAATCATGAGCATCAGCTGGGTTTGCTGCCAATCCAAAACGGGCGCCCCTTTTAATCGCTTGCTGTGTCTTCAAACGAGCAAAAGGGACAGCCTAAGTGTTTCCTTGTGGTGTCCCTTTTCTTCGCTTGAAGATGCAGAAAACGATCTAAAGGGACACCTGTTCCATCGCCCATATATAGGGAGAGAGAGAGAGAGAGAGAGAGAGAGAAATCATGAGCATCAGCTGGGTTGGCTGCCAATCCAAAATGGGCGTCCCTTTTAATCGCCTTCTGTGTCTTCAAACGAGCAAAAGGGACACCCTAAGTGTGCTCTTGTGGGGTGTCCCTTTTCCTCGCTTGAAGATGCAGAAAACGATCAAAAAGGACACCCATTCCATCGCCCATATATAGGGAGAGAGAGAGAGAGAGAGAGAGAGAGAGAGAGAGAGAGAATCATGAGCATCAGCTGGGTTGGCTGCCAATCCAAAATGGACGTCCCTTTTAATCGCTTTCTGTGTCTTCAAACGAACAAAAGAAAACACCTAGGTTCCTCACTTGAAGATCCAGAAAACGGCCCAACAAGGACACCCGTTCCATCGCCCATATATGGAGAGAGAGAGAGAGAGGAGAAGGGAAAAAATCATGAGCATCAGCTGGGTTTGCTTACATGTTCATTGTTATTCCTGTTGTTTTTTTCTAACGGAAATGAACAAGAGAAGAGAAAAATAAGAACCAGAGGAAAGATGAAAACGAGCACCGTCTTCTCTTTGCCTGACTTTTGCATTTCGCCTGTCCTCATTTCTCTTCCATTCTTTTCATTGCTCTTCCATTTAGAGTTGCATTCCTTTTGATCTCTCCTCTCTCCTTTCTCTCTCCCTTCTCTTCTCTTGTTCTCCTTCAAATCTCAAAAACACACAAAAGGAAGTTTCTTTTCCTTGTTGAATGAAGAATGAAAAAAGAAGAAAAGAGATAGGGAAAGAAATTGAAGAGCTCCACTGCCTATTGGTTCATTCCATTTCCTCTTTTTCTATGTGTTGTTTTCCTTGTCGTTTCAGAAAGCAAGCAAAATAAGGGCAAGGGGGCTTCCTGAAGAGGAGAGAGGGCACCTATCTGCGAAGAGGTCTTGTCCTTTTTAATAATAGGGGAAAAGAGAGAGACAAGGAAGGGAGAGATGATAGATAAAGAAGAGTGCCATCTTCTTTGCGCCTTGTTGTGTTCCTCCGTCTCCTTGTTCCTTGTCTCCTCTCTTCTGTTCAGTACCCTTCCAGAAAATTAAAATGGCCTCCTTGTTGTCTCTCCTCTCTCACTTCCCTTTCCCTTCTCTCCTTCTGTTTCCGTTTAACTGATAAAACACAAGACAGGAACTTGTATGATAAAGCAGTGGAAGGTAAAGCAGAGGGTGACTCCTTGCGCTTGGACCTTGCCGTACTTCATCATGTCCCTCTTCTCGGCCTACTTCTGCTCTTTTCCTTACTCTTCTCCTTTTCATAAATTCTTCCTCTTTAGTTGTTCTTATTTCGAAAAGAAAGAGGGAAGGGAGAGATAAGGGAGATAGGATAGATAAAGAAGAGTGCCATCTTCTCTGCGCCTTGTTTTGTCTCTCCCTCTTCTCTATTCATCTCTCTTCTATTCTTTTCTTTGCTGTTCTATTGAAATTGGATTCCCTGTATCTCTCCTCTGTCCTTCTCTCTCGCTCCTCTTCTCCTGTTCCCCTCTAAACGATTGCTCTTTACAGATAGGTGCCCTCCCTCCTCTTCAGGAAATCTCTTTTTCGCTTATTTTGCTTTTTGAAGCGAATAAAACAACGGATAAGAGAGGAAAGGGAATGACTAAGTAAAGACAGGAGCTCTTCAATAGGTGCCCTCCCTCCTCTTCAGGAAATCTCTTTTCCCTTATTTTGCTTTTTGAAGCGAAGAAAACAACAGATAAGAAGAGAGGAAAGGGAATGACTAAGTAAAGAGAGGAGCTCTTCAATTTCCCTCCCTATATCTGATGTTACTTTTCCTTCTTGGGTGGTGCCCTTCTTTCTCCCTTGAAGATGCAGAAAACGATCAGGAACACCCGTTCCATCGCCCATATATAGACAGAGATAAATCATGAGCATCAGCTGGGTTTGCTGCCGATCCAAAATGGGCGTCCCTTTTAATCGCTTTCTGTGTCTTGAAACGAGCAAAAGGGGCACCCTTACTAAGTGTTTTCTTGTGGTGTCCCTTTTCTTCTCTTGAAGATGCAGAAAACGATCCAAGAAGGACACCCGTTCCATCGCCCATATATAGACAGAGATAAATCATGAGCATCGGCTGGGTTTGCTGCCGATCCAAAATGGGCGTCCCTTTTAATCGCTTTCTGTTTCTTGAAACGAGCAAAAGGGACACCCTAAGTGTTTTTTGTGGTGTCCCTCTTCTTCGCTTGAAGATGCAGAAAACGATCCAAGAAGGACACCCGTTCCATCGCCCATATATGGGGAGAGAGAGAAATCATGAGCATCAGCTGGGTTTGCTGCCAATCCAAAATGGGCGTCCCTTTTAATCGCTTGCTGTGTCTTCAAACGAGCAAAAGGGACACCCTAAGTGCTTTCTTGTGGGGTGTCCCTTTTCCTCGCTTGAAGATGCAGAAAACGATTATAAAGGACACCCATTCCATCGCCCATATGTAGGGAGAGAGAGGTTGGCTGCCAATCCAAAATGGACGTCCCTTTTAATCGCTTTCTGTGTCTTCAAACGAACAAAAGAAAACACTTAGGTTCCTCACTTGAAGATGCAGGAAACGGCCCAGCAAGGACACCCGTTCCATCGCCCATATATGGAGAGAGAGAGAGAGGGAGAAAGGAAAAAAATCATGAGCATCAGCTGGGTTTGCTTACATGTTCATTGTTATTCCTTTTGTTTTTTCTAACGGAAATGAACAAGAGAAGAGAAAAATAAGAACCAGAGGAAAGATGAAAACGAGCACCATCTCCTCTTTGCCTGATTTTTGCATTTCGCCTGTCCTCATTTCTCTTCCATGCTCCATTGCCTATTGGTTCATTCCATTTCCTCTCTTTCTATGTGTTGTTTTCCTTGTCGTTTCAGAAGGCAAGCAAAATAAGGGCAAGGGGGCTTCCTGAAGAAGAGAGAGGGCACCTATCTGCGAAGAGGTCTTGTCCTTTTTAATAATAGAGGGAAAAGGGAGAGACAAGGAAGGGAGAGATGATAGATAAAGAAGAGTGCCATCTTCTTTGCGCCTTGTTGTGTTCCTCCGTCTCCTTGTTTCTTGTCTCCTCTCTTCTGTTCAGTACCCTTCCAGAAAATTAAAATGGCCTCCTTTTTGTCTCTCCTCTCTCACTTCCCGTTCCCTTCTCTCCTTCTGTTTCCGTTTAACTGATAAATGATAAAGCCTAGGAAGGTAAAGGAGATAAGGGAGATAGGATAGATAAAGAAGAGTGCCATCTTCTCAGCGCCTCGTTTAGTCTCTCCCTCTTCTCTATTCATCTCTCTTCTATTCTTTTCTTTGCTATTCCACTGAAATTGGATTCCTGTTATCTCTCCCCTCTCCTTCTCTCTCCCTCCTCTTCTCCTGTTCCCCTCTAAATGACAAAAACACAAGAAAGGAAGAACAAGTGGGGAATGGAAGCCCTTTTCCTGTCTTCTCCTGTTGCAATAAAGAAGGAAAAGAGCATAGGAGATAAGGAAGGGAATTGAAGAGCTCCTCTCGCTACTTTATCATGCCCTTTCCTTTCTATCTACCACACCAAACACGACTCTCAGCTTCCAAATAGACCCTATTTAAGCCACCCACGGGGGGGGGGGCACCCAGCGCATACTTGGCGCATACCCGGGCACCCGGCGCATACCCAGCGCATACCCGGGCACCCGGCGCATGCCCGGGCACCCGGCGCATACCCGGCGCATACCCGGCGCATACCCGGCGCATACCCGGCGCATACCCGGCGCATACCCGGCGCATACCCGGGCACCCGGCGCATACCCAGCGCATACCCGGGCATACCCGGCACATACCCGGGCACCCGGCGCATACCCGGGCACCCGGCGCATACCCGGACGGGCACCACCTACAATATTCGGGGTCGCTGTTTCCGTCCACTCTGACCAAAATCACAGCTACTTGTCGCGAAAATGCATCCAACTTTCTCCGCAAATTTCCAGGAAAGTTACTTGTGACCTGTTGTGGCGGGGGGGACACTTCAGTCAAGTCGCAGAGCAGAAAACAATATCGTATCAAAGCAACATACTCGGGCGAAGCAACGCAACTGCCCAGATCGCACATCGACTCAGTATCCGCCTTTTTTGGCTAGACCACTTCATGGACACCTGTGCCCCATATATTCATTGCGAAGGCAGCTTAGCTTAGATCCGGACGAAGCTGTCTTCGCCTTCGCAACGGCTCGCTGACCCCCAACGCCTGCGGCGCAACTGGGGGCAAGCCCGCCATGTGATTAGGTTGAGGTTGAAGCCTCTGCTGTCCAGGCTATAACCACCAGCAGCAGGCATCTGGTTGAAGTCGATAGGGAAATCATAGCTGTCCGTGCCGAACATGCCTGGGTGGCTGGCATGCTTCCTGCGACCGTAGCTTTGCCCCGTTGGCAGGCAAGCAGCTCTCGCCGCGACCTCTCCGATCATCAGGCCTGGCATGCGCTTGTCACAGTCCGCTGACGCGGCCTGCGCTTGGTTACACTGTGCAAGCTGCCGCCTCATGGAGCTCATGGAGGAAGACGCAGCTGCCCCTAATGAATTCAGGGACAAAGCCCCATCACAATTCCATGCGCATCATGATTAAACAACTTGGAGCGTGTCTTGCAATCAAGCAAAGCCTCCATACCCGCCGTACCCTCGACCAATGCCGATCTCACCTGATGATGGACTCTCCTGCAAGGCAAAACGAAGATTTGGGACAATTTCCAATGAATGTCTGCAAGACATGTTTATTCTTGCTCGCACGTCATGTGCGACGACCCCCTAACCCTCCCGCAGGCTTCAGGGCTTGGGGGTTTGGTGCTTCGGCTCTCGTAAGTTGCTGGCACAGGCCTGCCTAGCTGGGCCTGGCTAACTGAAGTCGCACCCGCAAGGCGAAGAAAACATAAGTGGCACAAGCAATGAAAGTGGAGGTTTAGCTTTCGGTTGAGCGCGAAGTCATGCAGCCACATGACCGACTTGCCGAGACGACTTTCCGTCCTCATCTGGCGAGAAATCGCTGCCATCTGACAAGATGGATCTGCCCGCACGCATTACTGCCAATCGCTGCCCAGTCACGATGGAGTCTCCTAGAGCTACCTTCCTCTGATTCAAAGAGTGTCTATATCTGGTTGACTCTGTGCTCACACCAAATCAGAAATGGGTCAACCTGGTTAACATGCCGCATGACGCACATCTGTGTCAGACTTGAGCAGCTTTAGATATCAAGGCGTTCTGTCAGAGCAACCACCCTCTTAACCGGACTGGCCATTCCAGGTTTATCCTCTGCTGACTCTACTGTGGTGCCCTTTTTCTGACACAACCGACAAATCAGAGAGACTGTCTCGGGTAATCCGTCTGAAAGCCGTTCCGCTGGCCGTGGCTGGCTTTCCCTGCGTCGGGACCCCGGCATACCGAATCATCGTTGAATCATCTGCATGGTGGCTGCAGGACTGCATGAATTAGCTAATTAGTAAGTACATAGCAGACGTAGCAGTACTCAGGCATTTGCGGACCATGGCGCCTTTTTGGAGACTTGCTGCTCGTCCACGCCGTTGGCCTAGCGGGCCTCGTGCTAGGTGTCTGGGGCATCGTCCGCTTCCTGCCAGGCACGGCTTGCGCAGGCGTAAAGCTTCCTGCCTCGGATCTCTAGGGTCAATGATTCGGTGATTCGGTGGGTAACTTAAAGCTGTGCCCAGATGCTGACAACTCCTTTTCCATACAGTAATTATTGCAAGTGCACCGAGACCGACTGCAACAAGGTCAACAAAAAAAACAAACGGCACTAAGCAATGGCAGCATGGAGCACGATGAAGAAAATGATCAAAACAGTCAAGAGCCATGCCAGGAACTCGGTTCCTAACATCGACTAAGTGACTCAAGTGTCGGATGTTTAAAGTTTAAAGGTTGTTGGACGTTAAGCTTCCCCCAGGTGCAGTGGCCCGCTCGGGCGGAGTCATCTGCGATTGGCTACAGGGATCTCAATTCAAGAGCCTTGTTTGGCACACACCGACCCTTACCTTGATTGCTAGGGATCATCTGAATCCCGAGTAAGCAGGAGCTACAGGCAACGTCAGGCACAATGCCTCCGTGTCCACCACAACACATACAAGCAAGTGCTCAATCCCGCCCTCGTCTCGGCGTCTGCTGGCACGTCGTCTTCGAAAGACGTGACGCTCGCGAGCGCTTCGCAAATCTCGGCGTGGCTCCTCGAACAAAGCGAGTTTGCCTGAGCATCTTATCGGAGGTGCAGCTCCTGCTGAAGGCTTCATCGAATGGCCTTGCCATGGTCACGTCTCTTGACATCTGTGAGTCCAGCGTTGACAAGAAAAATTGATTGAAACCCCACCTCTTTTGAAACTCATTCTTCAGGTTGGCATCGGCGCGACTTGCAATGAGCATCTTCACGACTTCCAGATGGCCGTTTAGCGCAGCCTGCCATGCACATCCATCCAGTGAGCACTCCGCAACTCAGCTCGCCCGCAGAAGCTGTGCGGAACAGCAGGTGCTCAGCCCCGTGCCCAGTGCAACGGGCAGTTGCCAGCATCGTTTGCCAAATCTGCTGATGCGCGTGCTTCGAGAAGTTTGCCTGCAGCTCGCGTGCAAGCCAAATGCCTTGTTCACGACTCGAACAAGAATCTGCGAAGCGAAAACCTGTCCACAACTTTCGCGCGAGAGGGCATAATTACATAGGCCCGATGCAGGCACACAAGCCGAAGCCACAAGGTCAAGAAACCTAAAATTAGGGAATGAAGCGTGCAACTCTTGCCTGGCTTACCCAAGTTGAATCAAAGCACGCACAATGTCCATATGGCCGTTTGCACTGGCCATGAACAGTGCCGTAGACCCACCGTGGCTACGAGCATTGACCTCCCCACAGATTCAAAACACAGTGGGTGAAGCGGCAGACATGTCAACACGATTCAGCAGTTCCGCAAGGTGGCACTCGAGGATGGTGTACCTTAATATCCTTTGGGATCTATGGAATCTGAGGGCGCGCTCCAAAGTCAGAACCGCAACTCTTGGCAGCTCTTGCCTGCACTCCGCTTGCAAGAGCTTCCTGCACGGCTTCTTGTTCCCCATAGCGTGCATCCAGAACAAACTCGACAACCTTGGCAATGCAGAAACAGCTGGGCAACAGCTGTCCTACCTGTGATGTCTCGACTCGACCTTTGAAGCAGCTTAGCTGTACATACAACTTGTGTGCCTGTGCTTGTGCGCGTGCGTGTATGTGCCTCTTCGGATGGCTCTGCCGCCATGGCCCCATGCAGCGCGCCCGGGCACAAGGCTGTTTTCGGGAAAGGCCTCCGCTATGCAATAAGCCTAGCAAATGCTCGACGACATGACTGCGGCATGTTGATGTCAAGTCTACGTGAAGAATCAATGAGAACTGCGAAAGATCAAAGACTCAAGAGTTCTGGTTGCACCGAGACGATTTCAGGGCACACATCTGCAGGGCGTCGGACATCCGGCGCAACATGGTGCACACAGTGCAAGGACTGCTCGAGTGGCTTCTCTCGCAGTTTTCTCGCAGTGCTCACAGTTTTGCGCTGACCTTAGCAACGTGTGGCTTTCCTGCGGCTCCTCAGACGCACTGCTGTCGAATGCCACCGCTAAATTCCGCTAAATTTAAGGCCAGCGACGAAGCCCTGGAACTGGCAAAACTCGGGCACGCTTAATCGATCCGTTGGTACGTTGCTCAGGTTCGCAGAACGGTCCGGGTAGCCCAGGGCTACCCCGCACCTGAACTACTGCGGCGCGGCTGCAACCCATCCTACAGCTGAGTAGCTGCTACTGCTACAATCTGCCACAGCTGAGCTCGCAACCACACCACCTCTTTCTGGAAAGGAATGCTGAGCACATCATACACACAATTGCCAAGATTTCCCCAGGCTTCAAGCATCGCCTGACATGTCAGGAGTGCACAGGTGTAAAGCTCGCAAACATTTGCAAACGAGGACTTTGGGCTAAACGGGGCCAACGCCAACAATGGAACGATTGATGGGGCAGGGTGCTGCTGCGCCACCGTTGCAAGACCCCGCTCTACAGCCAGCAAGGCGATGGTCTGGAGGAGCAGGCCAGCATGTCCCCAAGCATTCCTGTCGCAACAGCCTTGGTCGAAGTAAGAGCTCTTGAAGCCTTTTCAAAGTGTTATGTGAAAACTCATGAGCCCAAGGAATGCGTGGAGGGAGCGATCGACAGTGACGATCATGCCCACTGGAGCACCCCAGAAGCGATAGTTCTCCATCAGCGCTCGAACACGGCCCGCTGCATCATCCCTGGTTACACCCATCAACTTCCACATGTTCTGGGCCACCTGCACACGCCGTCTCATGTATGCCTGCCGAAGGTTGCTTCAAAGGGCAGAAGAAACTGCAAGTGCGGCATGTCAGCTTAGCATATGCTTTCACATCTGGCCTTATGCATGTCAACAGGCATGTCAACTTTGCGAGGGTAGGTAGCGTACTCCTGATCCATTGTAATTTTACCACCGGCGCCGCGAAGGTGCGCAAACGCCGCATCTGTCAATGCTTGCAGCTGCAAGCCCGCCACGACCTGCGGCAAGCAGGATACAGCAGGTTCAGTTCAGAAGGTCGCCGTATAGAATCGGCAGCACACTGCGCAAAACTTCTCCCACGTCCCATGTTTGTTGGCGTATCCTTTCCGCACATTTCCGTAGTCTGGAACACAGAACGCATAACCACTACCACATCGAGGTCCTAATGCGGTGCAAGGACATGCGATCTACCGTCTGCTGATGGAATTGGTCCCTCTCTCTGATGCAAGTTTTGGTGGCTTCTGCGTGCACTTGCCGTTCAAGCCAAGAAGCATATATGTGCCACGGCTGTGTATTGCCTCCAGACGGAGCGCGCGATGCTAGCGACAGCAGCTCCTCAACTGTTTCTTTGGACACAGGGCGTCGCTCAAAAGCCCGGCAGGTTCGCCGCGACTGAACCGCCTTGGCCGCTGCCAGCATGATCTGAGGCAACTCATGCACACATACCAGCACCGCTCATGCGAACGCAACAGGAAGCCTTGCATCGAGATGGTGACCCTGCCTCAGACACATTCATCTTCATCTTGTCAGGTGGTGGCAGCATGCGCTGCGGCTATCTGGGAGTCACAGGATGGTTGTGAAGCTGCGTTCTGTGGCTATGTAGAGACGTTGCGGCTATGTGGAGACCTTGTTGGGACGCGGAGCAGAGAGAGAACACTGCTCGAGAAGCAACGGCAATACGACACAAAGAGGGCCTCTTAGGTTTTCCGTCTAACGGAGATGCATATGAGCAGCTCTCACTTGCCAGGGTGAGCAGTGCACCTCGTGAGTTGAGCAACGGCACTTTCAGTTCAAGGCACAGTTTGTCTTTCCGCATGCCCCTCGAAAGCGATCCTGGTCACACCACCTCACTCCCGAGGGCTTCGCCAAAGCGTTTGACAGCTTGAGTTGCTGCCCGTCTTAGACTGTCGCCACGGCGACAGGCTGTTCGTCCATGTTCATCCTTTGAACATCATCACCAGATCAACGCCGGGTTGACAACGGAGCCCTCGGAGTCGTCCCCGTCTCCGGGTCTTCAGGACTTGGTCGTTGGATCCGTGAACTCGGCGGGCACGCTGACATCCACCGTCACCCAGCATCGCCCAGGACCAACGCGATGGCAAAATCACCTGTGGGGAGGTTCCGCAAAGACGCCGCTAACACCACAGTCGGTGTTCCTGAGCCAACGCGAGTCACAGGCGCAACTTGCAGTGGCATGAATTGGCATGTCATGCAGTTCCATACAAGTCATGCAGTTTGCATTGTTGTGTCACACAGCAGACCCTGCTCTCACATGATCAGATGCAAACGAGGCACGGAACCCCATGTCGCAGAAACACCGGAACCCACCCATGCCTGAGCTGTGCTGTGTCAACATAGTTTATGCGACCTCGAAGAGCGTCGCAATGTTTCTTCTGAACAAGCTGCTCACACTGCTCTTTGACGTAATGTCGCAAGTGTTGCGGACCCGGGCGAGCCAAGCAAGCTCCGAGAATGGCTGGCCACGACACACATTCCTCAGCACCATTGGCATCATGCTTATCTGCGGCTGCCTTCCAGCAATCTAGAGCAACAGAAACAGTCACATGCAACTGGAACCTGTTACGCACAACACATCTGGCTCTGCGGCCCCCGACTCTGCGATCGTGATATTGTGATATGTCATGTTGCGTCATCCACACTATTCGGATGTCACTGGTGTCCGAAGTGCGGTACATCTCCATGACATCTGAGGAACGTCCACATTCTCGACGCGGCAGCCACGAAGCGATCGCCAGACATTGCCAAGAGCAGTCGCTGCAGCCCTGTCCATCATCAGAAAAGCATCACCACCACCGCCGCCAATTGAGCCACACCTTCAAAGAGCTGACAGGAAAGGCTTTTGTTGTGCCTAGCTGAAATGAATTCATATGGTGGCTGCGTGGCCTGCAGAAGATGCTCGGATGAACAAAGCATCGACAACTAAGCCTCATGCGCGAACGGGATTGTGGAGTTGACAGGGGACATGGCTTCTGCAAGGCCTGCAATGAGGCACGTGCAAGTATGCATGCCTCGTGACGTGACCGAAACAGCAGAGAAACGCATGTCGTGTGGAAGCTGGGATAGGGAAACATGAGAAGCCCACAGCACTCAGTGAGGACTGCGCGCCAAGCAGCGGTATCTCAGAGCAGAGCCCGCGCTGCCAACGTACATTATGTCAGGTCGAATCCTCGCACCGAAAGGCTGGGTGAAAGCTTCTGAAAGCTGAGGCTCGACATGGCTTTTGGGGGCAATCTTGAATTACTCTTTCTTTTACTTCGTCGATGGAATTCTCAGAATATGTCAAATACAAACCGCGCTCACCCTAAGAGTCGCGTGTCCTCACCACCAAGGCAAATCGCTGGCCATCTTCCTCTTCCTTCTTGCTCATCAGCTCCAGTGCCCGCGCAAATTTCAAGTACTGCTGGGTCAGGCCCTGGCCTGACTTGCAGAGTCTCTTTCTCGACCGGAGGGGCAGAGAGAAGGACGTCATGAATAGAAGGACAACCTGTGGTATTTTAGGTGGTCCAAGCATGTCCAAGCAGCCTGCTTTTGCTTGGTTGGAACATTCTGCGTACACGTACTGCTCACGTTCCACATCATCACGTGTCCACTCCGCCAAGGTGTAGTTGCCTTCACATTGTTCTTATTCTTCTTCTCCTTCTTCTTCTCCTTCTTCTTATCCTTCTTCTTCTCCTTCTTCTTCTCCTTCTTCTTCTCCTTCTTCTTCTCCTTCTTCTTCTCCTTCTTCTTCTCCTGCTTCTTCTCCTTCTACGTCTCCTTCCTTCTCCTTCTTCTTCTCCACCGGGTTGGGGGGAAATCCCCACGTGCCGGTACGTACGGCCGAGCACACGGGCTGTCGCGGTACTAGTTTGCATAGTAACAAGCAGTAAACCTCGCCACCTAGAAGAAACACTCAATGCCTAAGCCCCCAGACCCTGGTAAGCCCCTTCTCTCGTCTGCGGAGGCTACCTAGCTGCTGTTGTGGCTTGCTCGATCCAGAAGCTCGTTCCTGGGCCCTTTACACTGCACTTTCTGCTCTCGCCCTATCTCAATCCTTCATTCAAGCAACTCTCACTTTTCTATTCTTATGTTCTTGGTCTCTTCTTTCACTCTGCCTTCAACGAGGAGCCCAAATAGACCCCTGTTGGTTGAATGGAGGTCCACTGGTCCAAACCTGTAGCCAGAGGTTTAACGTTTTGGGGCATATGTGTGAGGGTCGACAACAGCTCAGGAACGATCCGGAACTGTGAACTTCGCATCTCGGTCATCGAATTTCGCAAAGGAAGGTAAAGCTTTTTTGCAACTGAAAACTCGAGCTTTGAGCTTCGCTGAAGCTCCTGAAGCCTGGAGCCTCCGAGTCTAACGCTTCAAGAATGGAGCTTCCTGAACGAGGCACTTGCGCGCAATCACAATCTGCGTGTCCGCGAAGTGGCTTAGTTTTGCACTCCGAAGATGCACGTGTCACGCCCTGGTGAGACGCAGCTTAAGCAAAAATGCTGCGCACGATTTTGGATAATTTTGAGCCCGCTTAACTGTAGCAACTGTAGCAGTAGCCCTCGATTAAATCGGTCCGCATTGATATTGTGTAGAACCTACGCCTCTTGACAAGATTCCAAACGCTCGCGAGGCCAATGGATAGAGTGGGTAAAGATGATATTGTGTAGAACCGTGTCGCATCAGTTTGTCTTGCGATGCATGACTCCATGAGAGAACTCGATCAAGCCGTCTGAAAAAAAGTCTGCCCCGTAAAGCTGCAAGGACCTGGGATTCCAGGAACGTAGAAAAGGCGGGCCTCGCGAGCCTGAAAGCTTCGTGTTTGGGGCCGCTCAGAAAGGCCTGAAAGGGTTCTTAAACCAAAAGAGGGCCCAAATTTGCCAGGGGGTAAGCGGGGGCCTGCCAAGGGTTCCCAGCATCAGTAAAAGTTTCGGCCTCCATACGTGGACAACATTTCCTGGACCTGCTCGTCGGCGAAGTCTCTGCTGTAGTTCCGATTGTGCTGATTTTCCCCTCGCCATGTGAAACCACTCCTCAGGAATTCTGCTGTTGCTTTGGCAATGGAAAGTGGTCGGAAAGGAGCCGTAAGCCCAACACATACAACTGTATTGAACCTGGTATCCGAGTGAACTCTAGAACTGCGAAGACATGGTATCGCGATGTTGGCATCTCCTAAGAGAACGATAACTCAGTCTGTGGGCTTGTGCTCTCTGTGCCATCCTTTTGACACAAAGTCCTGAAAGACATGCTTGTGAATGTTGCGGGTGACCCGCTCTTCAGTACCAGCACGAACCTGTGCGATGGCAGGCCAAGGCATCCGACTGGTTCCATGAGTGAGGTGTTTGTACCCCTCTAGCCTTTTGAGGAGTAATCGGGATTGATTGTCTTGCGAACAAGAATGCGTCTCCGACAGGAATGAAGAACACTCAGGGGCTTGAAGCCACGGACTTCGGGGTTCTCGATCGTGCGAGGCCCTGGTCTTGAAGAGCCACGTACGCACGTAGCTGCTACTACTCCTCCTCCTCCGCCTCCTCCTCCTACTCCTCCTACCCCTACTGCGACTGCTACTGCAAGACGGCCGCACTGCTCTTCGTTTCTGACTCTTGAACGTAAACACCCCACGTGGGCATTCAAACATGCTGTCGCCTGTCCAACAACCAGTACGGCGATGCCATTCCACCTTTGACCGGCTGCCTCATCTGCAGCCCGCTGGGCGTACCACCTGCTTCTTGCAATCACATGTGAGTCGTTTGCAAAGGCGTCTGGCGCCGTGCAAGGGGGACTCAACATGCACAAGCTACAGCAAGTCATGGTACAACAGTCCAGCAGCACTTTCGGGCCCCCTTTGGGAACTGTTTGGGGCCTCGTTTCTCAAGGGGGCGTCAAAAATTTGGATAAAGCCACGGGCTGGAAGTTCTAGGAATCCGAAACAAGACTTACCTACCTGCTGTGCCGGTAGCGTGCAGCGAAGCACCAGACAAGTGAAAGCTTATGCCTGTGGGGGCAAGGCTGTTGCACTGTGGACACAAGGCCTCAAAAGGGAGCACAGCAGAGGCTGTGGGTTGACAGCGATGCGCCTGGCCGTAGATGGTGCCAGCTGCGACCACCAGCTCTGAATGTTCGATGGGTCTCTCGGAGACTGCAAGTACGCACTCCTAGCAGGGTTTCCGAAAAGACTTGCAGGGTCGTAGAAACAACAATCATCTATTACCCTTTTTGTTACTGATGCTCGAGCACCGCTTCTTCTTATTTTCAAGTCAGACACACACTGGGCGACGACATCCACACAGTACTCAGTCACCATCCCGAAGCAACCATGCACTTTCAAAGCAACTTCTACAAGGTCCCGGGGGGGGGTCATGCTGACCTGCATCTCTCTAGCCGCTGTTGTCCTGAACCGAGAAGTGCGCTGTATCCGTGCCACCGCCGTGCTGCAGCAAACCTCAGGGCGGCAAATCATTGCTTCGCCCACGCAAGACGTTTTCGCTTCTCTCCACTGACCTGTTTGTTCTCACATTGGTCGTCAGGTCGCTCCGTTTGTTCATCAGGGATTTGTACCCAAGAACTCAAGCGTGCCAGGTAGATCTGATCCCACTTGACCATGACAGGACCCATGTAGCGTTAGGCTAACGGGCATCTTCGGAGTCACTACTCGAACTCTTGCCAGACATAGCCCTGAACCTCTCGAGTTCTCGGCGCACCAGCTCTTGCTAGCTGGAAAGCAGGGACGGCACGTGCGATGTTGGGTCGATGCAGAGCAGACCACGCGGAAGATTGGTAAATGAGGACACTACAGGATATCACGCGGAAGCAAGAGCCTGCAGGAGATTCAGCAAACATCAAACCGCAGGTGAAAAGGGGCAAATGCCCGTTGCCAAGCACGGCAGCGTACAAATCATGATCGCAGGCATTCGGAAGCCAAGCAGGGGGAAGTTGAAGCAAATCAACTACAAGGAGAACGAGCCAGCAGCCCTAAGCTCTTGACCTTGCAACCCCCCAAGCCGAAGTTCCACTTAAGCCCCCAAGCCGCGCACTGCAGAGATGCTCATTGAAGTATGTCGGAAACGCTCGTGCAAACTTCAATGCAGAGGGATGATCGGGGAGGTGAGTGGGATGGATAGACGAGGTCCGCACGTCCGTTGAGGAGTTCGTGGCCTTGACGCAGGGCCCAGCCTGCACAAACGGAACTTCGTGGCATGCCTTCGGCAATTCATGCGTCCGCGCCTCTGGTGCGAACACTGGCACGGCCTCTTCCTGGCAAATGGTCGGTGAGCATTGAGCCCATTGCGCGCACCCCACGTTCCTCAATATGCAGCGCGTTGTGTCCGACGAGGCACATGGCCAATTTCGAAGGCGATGACGGAACCTTCCCGGAGCCTTCCATTCTCCCTCGAAGATAGCACTGGCGAAAGCACTATTCACATGTCCGCCCGGCTTTACATGTAACATTCAGCCTCCCCTAGACCAGTGACGGGGGAGGCGGGGAAGCGAAGCTGTTCTTTGTCGGGCTTGACAGTCGGTTGGCAAAGAATCAGAAGAGTCTTTGCCGGTTTTTGCCCATGATGATGGGAGGGGGGTTCAAGGCATTTACAAAGATCCTTCTACTTTCCTTCCTTGCGTGTTACTATCATTTAAAAGGGACCTCTGTTTTGTGTTTGTTTTGGGTGATGCCTACATGTTGCTTGATTGTGTTGTTTGTTGACGGGTCTCCGCTTGGGATGCGATGGGCTTGTCCTGGTTCGTGCGCTTCTTCCGCCTGTTGCTTCCATAGGGAACCCCAAGATGCAACAATGGACTTCTGATTCGGTTTCTTGCTGGTTGGAGCTCGTCCTTCTTTCCGCTTCTGCTTATGTTACTTATGTTGCAGTCTGAAAGCGTGTTGACAATCAGACAATCGGGAGGTAGAGTCCAAACAGACATGTCTAAACACCTTTTATACGTGATCCCCAAGCGAAATACAGAAGTCTGACACATAAAGACGAATGCGCTACTCCAACAAACTTCCCCAAACGCAGCTCAGCCCTCCATGATGTTGCGATGTTGCTGTGATCATGCGGCCCGTGGATCCTGTGGATGTCGGTACTCTAGAAGCACTTGACAGCCCATCAAAAGACATGCGTCAGGACGTGTCGGCCTGTCCAGTCACTCCAGTCTCACCGGAGACTGCGTCACTACCTTTCCAAACACCTCGCTGTACTTCGTCAAGGTCTTGCACCTTCAGCTTCTCCTGAAGCGAGGGCTACGCGAACACAGTTGCAAAGTCTGCATGGCGTACCTCCAAGTTCTTGAAAGCAGACCAAACGTGTTGTATCGTGTTGTGGTCTGTTTAGTTGCTGTGCCACACTTGTTTGTGGTCTACATCGTCCTCATGTCAGCGTTTGTGGCTGCCCTCTGTGGCTACCATCCTTTACCTCTGACCTAAAAGGATTGCACGAGTGCGCCCTGGACAGTAGGATTGCCTACTGCATATTTGTCGGGTTCAAAACTCTGTCTGTGCATGACAAGGATGTTCAAAGTGAAGTCAAGGACTTGAGCGTGCTTACGCATGCTTCCGGCTGGAATTACCGCATGCTGATGGTTGGGTTTAAATCCTGGTTTGCTCCTCTTGCAGGGTCTTTTGCTTACAACCAAGCCATGTCGAACAACCGGTGGCAGTGATGGAGTTCCGACTCACGGAACTGGAATGATTCATCTTCCAACTCGACAATGGATTTCCTGCGAAAACAAGCCTTGCGACAAACAAGTTAAGCAAAGTGCTGGAAAAGGACTGTTGAAAAGGACTTTTCCCCTAAGTCCGGTTTCGAAAGGCTGCTTAGAGCTTAAGCTTGTCCCCCGATCGACGACATTTAAGCTTAATGGCTTCAGAGTTGCGTCATCGGGGCATTGCAGAAAGTAGCCGTTCGTTTGAACTTGCTCTGCTTCCGAAGCTGTGTTTCTCACATAGCGCATGAAGCGTCTTCGTGAAGTTGGTCTCGGCTGTCAGTCTGAGGACTCTGTTCTCGACAAGCACAAGGATGCATCACGTTGCGTGTCCAAGCTTTGTGATTCCCTTGCTGATGAAATGAAATGAAATGAAACGAAATGAAACGAAATGAAATGAAATGAAAATGAAATGAAAATGAAATGAATAGCGAACCTCCCATCGTTCACAGATGTTGAGTACACGGCCTGAATACGTCGAACGACGTGGCCACATTAGGGTAGCTTTTGAATCGGTCCTGTTGTCCTTCTTCACCCGATCCTTCTTCGTCTTCATCCTCGTCGTCGTCATCATCATCCTTTGAGCATGCAAAAGCTTTCTCACATTCAATTGAACAGCACTTGCTGCAAGACGTCCGTTCAATCCTAGCGGCCACTCGTAACCTGCAAGTGCTGGGAGAGCCGCATGGAGGACGGCGGGCAAGGCAGGAAGGGAGAGAGACAAAGGGTAACGGTAACACAGAGTAAGCGCCCCTTGCGTGCTAGCCATGCCAAGCTTTCCCAAACAGCAGAGATCTACCCCGCAGTGCTAGCCGAAACATCCACCGATAAGCCAAAGCCTACCTGTGGTGAGACACGGCGACTCAGACACAAGTGCGTCACAAACAATACGCCTCAAGCATTTGTGTGCGGGACGGCGCTCAAGCAGGAAGAGGAACAGAGCCAGGGAGGGAAACACTTATTTTTCTTCGAACATGCCCACCCTCTCTTGGTAGAGATACTCTAGGGTTGGGCACTCTAGGGACACTCTGGGGCTGGGCACTCCGGGGACACTCTGGCATTGGGCGAGCCTCTGGAGTTGGGCACACTCTGGGGAGGGCTCCAGGGAGACTCTGGGGTTGGGCACAGGGAGACGCTGGGACACTGTGGCCTTGGGCACTTCAGGCAGACCCCGGGGTTGGGCACTCCAGGGTGGGCACTTCAGCGGGACACTCTGGGGTTGGGCACTCCAGGGAGACTCTCGGATTAAGCACTCCAGGGAGACTCTGGGGTTGGGCACGGACACTCGAAAGTTGGGCGTTCCAAGGACAGTTGGGGTTGGGCACTCCAGGGATGAGCGGTTAGTAGACCGGGCGAGGAGAAGAGTTCCGAGCGAGGAGAAGAGTTGAGTTTAAAATCTAACAACCCCACATCGAGGGTGGGGAATTAATCAAAACAGGCGAGAATGCGAGAGAGAGAGAGAGAGCACGCACGCACGCACACACACTCACACACAAAGAATTGAAGGCAAATGGAAGAGGTACATGTTGATAAACAAATAAAGAAAAACGGGGCCTCGTCATCCTCCTCATCGTCCTCATCATCCTCCTCGTCGTCCTCCTCGTCCTCCTCGTCCTCTGAAATGGACATTCCAGGAGTGCAGGGTTGTTTTGCATGGGGCATTACCATAGGTGAACCTCGGGGATTACGGGCATGTCCGTAAGACTTGCACAGGAACGTACTTATGCAACCTTCGCATCTTCCCATCTGTGTGATTGGCTTTTCGTGGTTTTGACTTACCAGAGGTGAAGCTCGCTGCTATTTCTCAAGGGTTCCCGGCGTTCTGTGAGGCCCCCACATACTTGTGCAAAGTTCGCGCGAGTTCGCTCAAAAGTGTTCATTGCTGGTTGCCAAACCATGCTCCGACCCTGTTGGTCTCGACTGCACATCATGTGGATCAATGCGAAGACATGTTGAACATCAAACGCATCGGGGCATAGTGAAACCAAGAATGTTATGTGGCAAATGGTCCTGCCCTGTTCGAAGATAACTGAACCGAAGTCAGGAGGTGCGGTTGACCGACCAGCTGCGCTGCTTGTGGAATTTCGCGCCCTGAAAATGCGGAGGCTCGAGAACTTTGAGACTCCGCAGGCTGGGCCTCCAGTGATACATGCTGCACCTGGGACTCATGTTACGATGCTCGGCTAGCTCGCACACGCTTTCCCCACAGCAACCTCCGGCCAATGCAGAAACAGTGCAGAAATTACCTTTCAGGAAAACGCCTAACGTTTGAATGTGGACGTGTGGCTGTGTAGGCTGTCCACCTCTGGCTCTCTGAACTGAAGGATGCCCGAATTTGTCTTCATGTTTTCTCGGCAAGCACAACAATACAAACTGAGGCTTCACAAGCTTTATGATGCACTCCTCCTCATGACCCTTTGTATTTTGCATGTAGGACGATGTTTGCGGCTGCTCCTTAGTGCACATGACTGGATAAGCAATTCAAGAGCTCGTGTGGACTCGACACAAACTGGGGTGTCAGGTAGACAGCCACAACCTGCAATCCTGTGTTCGACCAGTTGCGGTCACACTTTGCCCCAGCAACATGGCAGACTCGGGGCCACTGGCCTGCCACAATGTGTAGACAGCTCTTCTTCGCCAGGCACAATCAAAAGGCTCGTAAATTCACCGATCAGCAAGAAATGGTATGAAAAGGCTGTTTAAATGAGCCTGGTCTGTGATACTGTGAACTACATACGAAAAGAGGCGGACATGACATTGGGCCAAAGGGGTGAATATTCAGCAGTTTGTCGTCAGAACAATTCCGTCAACATTGAGACCAAGCTGTACCCGCAGAGATTGCAGTCCTGCCCCGAGGATGCTCTCTCTTTCCATCACAAGAAAACACGTGACAGGCGTGGATGGAACAGATGCAACAGCAACGGGAAAACTTCTTTGGTGCACCCCAAACTACCCCCCACGCGGGAGTATGGAGGGCCACTTGGACAGGGCTTGCAATGGGTGAAGTGAAAGCCAACCAAGGCTGAAACCACTCGTAAAAGTTCAAACAATTCAAAAACTGGCCAAATCAACCCGAAGGCTTTCGGGTGTGGATGGAGTTCTGGGGCTCTAGAGCCTCCATCAATCCCATTCCATCTTAAATTCTGCAACGCAACGTGCGCCAAATGATACTTTTTCGCCACGTGAAAGAGGCTTTACCAGATGGGGTGCGTTTAGGCTGCGACCCCTGCAGCGCGTCCATGAATATTTCAGATGCCCTGATAAAAATGTGGCGCTGCTCTGCGCAGTGCGGCGAGGCATTGGATGCACCCAACAGGTGAAACATCAAGGAATCACAAAGTTCACTCAACAGCAACTCTTGCACACATCTTGCCTTGACCGAACTTGCCACTCCCGTCACTGCGAAACCTGGCGGACCGCCTGACCTGGCACCAGCCATCAGCATGCATACGGGGTGACCTCACATCAACACCCCCGCAGCCCCCACACTGCCCATCTGGCATATGATACGTTCTGCATCTTCCTGCCGCGCGGAGTACTCAGCTGACGCAAAAACTATTTCCAAGTACTCGACCAACCCCGCCCCTACAATCCTCATTCTATAAATGACGATGGTGAACATGCTTGGAAATCAGCCTTCCAGAGTCTGCGAGTTGAAGGAATGCCAGCCATGCCAGGCACCACCTCAGAGAAGACACGCAGAGCAAGCAGAGATAAGCAGAGCAAGCAGAGCAAGCAGAGGGGAAGTCGGCGGCGACGGTAGTCTGTGAGGTGGTCATTGAGAGGCGGGGATGGTAAGCTGGTTAGTTGTTGAGCGGAGATCAGTGGCGAGCAGCGAAAGGAAACAACAAACACGGATACTCCAACCAAGCCGCAACATAAAACGCTGCCACGCTGGCAGCCGACGGCAATGGCGCCAGACCGACCCACAGCGAAGCCTTCAATGGTTCTGGCACAGAATACGTGCTGACACATAGCCCGCACAATGAAGGCGAGAAGCACAAGTGATCCAAAATACATTTGTCGAACTCGCTCTTTGGCGAGTCTGCGTGTTTGTCTGCATTGGTCCTTCATCCACTGGGAACATGCCGTCCCGCTGTATCTCGTACAAGCTCTCCCATTGTTGGTGCATCGCAATTTGCGAGAAATCTAAGCAAGTCCTGATGCTGTTGTCTGCCCTGCTCCATGCAGGCGTCGCTGCAGAACACCACAGCACCACATTTGCCGCAGGTGATCTCCGCGGATGCGCCACAGGCAACACAAGTCTCCATGGATCCAAGAAGCTCAAGACGCCTAAGCCCCAAACATGCTTCATGCAAAGGGCTGCTGCTACTCGCCAATGCTAATAAACTTCCGATCCTGCCCAAACTGAAACTCAACCTCCCAACAGCCTCGTGAGTCCATACACCTCTTCGTCACATGAAACTGTCTTGTCCTAGTTTGTCTTAGTTAGTCCTACTTGCAAATTCACAGGTTTCTTGGCAGGTTTCCATGTGCCTTTGGATGGCAGCGTCTGTTGTAGGCATGGCTGTTGATGGAAGAAGTTGAATGCCCGAACTAGCTCTTGTCATCAAATGTGGATTGTTGCTCTCCGCCCAGGTCGGTCCAACGTCGCCCAATCTGATCCAGTGAGCTTCTGACTTCGAAGCATAAGGATGTGGGCTCAAAGAGTTTTGGACTGCTGCATCAGGGTAATCCCCGATGCTTGGGCGTCAGGATCCCCGATTTGCTGACTTTCCAGGGTGGTTTTGAAAGCGGGGCTTGCACCGAGCTTGTGCTCATGTGCCATGGGCTTTCGAGGCACCCGAGGATGGCACATGCCAAGCACAAGAGCCTTGCTAACGGCTGAAAAGGTGGCTGCGCGTCGAAGAGAAGGCAGACATGCTCGCCGCTTGCAGCTTCAGTACTCCCTCTCCCCGCGATTCGCATACTCTTTCCTGGAAGGGCAAGAGAAGTGGGCACTGTACAAATAGTATGACATGCACACATTCGGCAAATCGCTTCTCGGTGCCTTTGTCTGTCCATCTCATCATCAAGGCGAGAGATGGCTCCCATGCTGCGATACGGGGAATCTGGCGCGGCCTTCACATCACGTTTCGAGTCTCAGCTCGTTTTTGCAAGCACTGGGCTTCCTGAGCTCGATTTCAGAATTCTGAGACTCGGACTCCATCCAACGTCAGCTGGGTTCCAGGTGTCCAAATCCCAAGGATGACTGACACCAACAAGGTCAGGGGAATCCTACAAGCAGGGGCCGAATTCAATGTTTCGCAGGACTGTAACATACAGTGCATCACACACATGCACTACTCACAGGCAATCTTTCATCCCAGGGGCACGAAGGCCAACGCATAGGATGTCAGAATCTGAGTGTGGCCCCGCGTGGATGCGACAAGCACGACAAGCAAAGCTTGCAAAGCTCGATGGTGCAACCGTGCTCTTGAGCATCCAAGCCACTCCATAAGCTTTCACTTTCTCTTCGGTGGTTTCGTCCGCGCTGTCCTCATCATCTTCATCCTTCTGTGGCTTCAGCCTTCTTGGATAACGAGTCTCGACAAAACGAAGCCGTATGAAACTGGCACCATAGCTAGCCCGACCATACATCCCTTGCGTTTTAAGAACTGTATCATATTTGCGACAAAAACTTGGGGCACCCTCGGCTGGCACCTGACTAAACGCAGTGCATTCCGTTGCAGTCTGTGTTCGCTTTCTTGCGGAAGGCACCCCACCACCAGTTGAATTCAAGGGATCACCGCATTAAGTAGGCGAGTCACCACACGAGATCGGCTCGGGTTCACTAAATTTCAAGAGAAGCAGCGACTCTCACTTACCCACCGTCCGAAAAACTTGCGATCCCGCATGGTTTTGGACAAATTGTACTGACAAAAAAATAGAAACATGTCTTGCTGGGCATCTCAGGGTCAGCGTCATCTCACGTGCTTGCACTGCCGTGTCACCATTTGCTTCACTCATCCCCGCCCTAAAGCTAGCCAGTGTCGGCATCATATGGCGACATCTTTCTGTTTTCAGACAGCGGAATGAAGCATTCCTCGCTGCAGGGTTCTGTTGCAGTTGCGGAATCATCTCCGGGTGCACCCCAGGGACCAGACCAGGAGACCGGCGAGGAGCGCGTGCGGAGAATGGTTATTGACTCAAAATCTAACAACCTCACACCGCGGGGTGGGGAGAAGCAGCCAAAAGCTAAAGGCCCGCAGTCCGCGTCGACAGCTTTTGCTGCACAATTCTGGACAAAGCAATCTGTGTAACAGTTTAACCACAACATACAGCACTTTGATGCCACTTACGCTGCTGCTTGCTTCCCAGAAGCAGCGCGTTGACTGGATTGCCATCGGCCTGATTTCCCAATGTGCGGCCACAGCTCCCTTGTGCCAAGGTCATAAGGGCCCAACAGTTTCGTACTTTGCTAATCGCATCTTCTCGGCATCCCGGGCCCTGCTCGTCCGCACTGCACCACTAACAACACAATATGAATGAAGACCCAGGCCTAGGGAACGCCAATTTCACCAAAGGTGATTCTGTGGTGGCGCTGCCCGTGAGTGGCGTGCCTGACCAGGAGAAATTGTGCCAAGGCGGGAAGGTTTCGTGCAGTGCCTCTGGGGGAGCCTGTAAATGCCCCGATGCAGTTCAAGCCGAGCTGCCACAATACGCCTCCCAAAGCGCAACAAAAACGCTGCAACGAAGGCAACGAAGGCAACGAAGGCAACGACAGTTCATTCATCACACACCCAGTTGACCTGCAACTGCCAGCGGCAGCAGTAGCGTGCTACGCCTGGCAGCCATCTTCTTCGTGCCTCGGCCGGACGTCCAACGCGCGAGGCGCTCACCCAGTGTGCGTTGTCTGGCGATGAACAATTAATGCTGCCTGGGTGCCTTTGAAGAGCACACAAGGCTCAAACACCAAACGGCTGTGCTGTGTCAGGATGAGCAGAACCAGTGTGATGAGATGAAGCAAGCAAGTCACACAAAATACTCTCAGTGGCCTAAGCACACGCAGCACATGGCAGTCACCCGCTTTTTCCATTCACCAGGAGGTGATCGAGATTGAAAGAAGCACGCAGTCCAAGTTTTGAAGCCTTTCTAGAACTTAGGGTGCTGTCGCTTCTCAAAATTGCAAGACTTGGGCTGCCACACTCTGCCTTGTTCGGAACCCCCGGTTCAGGGAGAGCAGAGTCAACTCAATGCCTCAAACCTTCACGAAGAATACGGCGATACTCCCACCTGCGAAAGCTGCTGCGTCAGTTACAGTCCCAAGTAACAATCCTCCACGAACCTGAATTTAACTTCCTGTGTGTGCCAATGCTGGATCTGGGCCTTGGGATAGTCACCCTTCCGCCCTCCGCCAAAAGCCACGGATGCAGCGCGCACGAGCTGGGAAACCAAGTCTCCTTCAGCCTTCAACGTCTTCACTGCCTCACGGCAACCGGATTCTGCATACAAGCTCAACATGACAACCAAAAGCACTTCCATACAAGGTGCACGCATCTACTCATCAGCACACACACAAAATCCAACTGAAGGCAACAACACGCGCACCAAGCACGAGGACAGTCTACGCGGCAGCACATATTATCACAAGATCATAGTGTCGGTGATGCATGTAGTTTTTGTAGTTGAGGTGGGGGTCAGTGCTAGCCGTTTACTTCTGGCGAAGACTCAGGGCAGCCGAGCATGGAGTTGACGAGTTGCATCCTGTACCCTTCTCAAGCATGTTCATGGCGCCTGGAGTTGGGCACGAAGGCTTCCACTGCGAAACAGGTAGTTGCCTCAGCCAAAGAAAAGAAGCCAGCCGAAGACATCTCAAGGGTGAGGTCTTGCTTCGCAGTGGCTCAACCAAGCAATCTGCTCCTTCCCCTCCTTCATATGAAGGCAGCATTCATGAAATGCAGTGAAGTCGAACATGCTGGCGACTTCATACGACCTTCGCAAGAAGGCAGGACTTGTCCTCCGAGTACTCTTCGGCTTGTGAGCTGTGCAACTCATCAAGGCTTTTCTTGATCACTGCCTGCCACCAACATCACAGGCACACGAGGCCTACGAAGAAACAAAGCACGGGATCCCCGACCTGCACTGCTTGAAAATACCGACACACCCCCAAGGGACGAGGCTTCAAGTAAGACCCCCTACAACTTATCATAGGCTCCATCCATAAATGCAAAAGTAACCCGGGGCCCAAATGTAAATGATGCTTGCAAATTCAACCTTGCATGTCGGTGGCTCGCATTTATCCCCGTACTGGAGCTCTTTCTCACTCGTGTCTCTCTTGCCACTCGTGGGTTCCTCATCCTTGGCCAGCTTCATGTCGAGCTCCATCAAAGCTTCCACAGAGCAGCCTTCGTCCAAGCACTCCTGCCCAGTAGGATGGATCAAAAGGCCAACAACACACCCCTGCTTCAGGCACAGGTTCCCTGAGTTGTTGCTGCCCTTGTTGAGTCCTGAATGGCAGAGTTTGTGGCCTCAGTAGCCTCTAGAACCGGTGCAGGCATGTTCTTGGACTTCACTACCTGGGATCGGGCTAATACACATTCGCAAACTGCGAGGCGATATCTGATATCCCACCAGTCTGATCAGACCTGGTCCAAGCTGCAGCTCCATCAATGCCCAAGTTCACCTTGCCCTGCTCGAATGCTGGACGCTGGACTCGAGGCGTCTGTAGATGTCCTGCGCTGTCACAGCAGTTGCGGGCGCACTCTGCATGTGCCGTGCTGGACTCACGATCATCCAAAAACCAGAAGTCGAGTCCTCCCCCAGGCTGTACGAACACAGTGGTGCACAGAAAATGCACCACAACGCCTTCCAAGCATGGCTCCCATGTTCATATCTACCCGAATCTACCCCGTGTCAGAAGCAAGGATTGCTGGGGCCAACACGAGAGGAAAAGGCAATGTTTTTTTTGCTGCAGGATGTTCTGAGACAAGATCAGGCCTGCCACGAAGATAGAGACGAGCTTTGAAGCACTTCGGCCAGCCATGTCAGGCACCTGATTTCCACTGGAGAGACTCACAGCTGTGCGACTTCTGTCGCAACATTCCGCCCTGCCAATAGCAAGGCTTCAGCCCGGGACGAAGTGAAGGCACCAGGCGCGGCGTTGAAATTTGTTGGCGACGCTGGGCCAAAGGCACGCAAGAAGCAGCACAAGCATGCCGCATGTTCGTGTCTGTAAGACTTCACATGCCCAATGGAAGCCCATGCGTAATACCCCTTTTGACAACTCAAAGCAACGCGGTGGCCATGTTAGCCCCACAATGCTCGCATTAAGCATTAGCATGCAATGTTGTGCAATCTGCCGAGGGCCGCGTTCGCGATTTGTACAGCAGAGGGAAAAAATCACACAACCACGATGGCAAATCCGCACTAATCGACCTGCTGTCGAGAGGTGGTGTGTCTGGTCATCCAGCAGCCATCGCTATCCTCAAGGACCATTGCAAGTGGACGCAACATCGCATGCTTGCCCGAGCCATGCAGTGAGCTTGGGTGAGCTTAGGAGGACAGCCAAGGATCTTTCGGCCTAGCTCCAGATGGTGGCTCCTAGGACATGCGAGCAACACCACAACCAAGCAAAAACGAGGCCCTGTTGGCCAAATCTCAGCCTCGTCTTCAGCACATGCATCAGATCATCCGAGCGGCACCGCCTGCTCGAAGAGGAAGTGCATCGCATCAGTCACCGCATCACCAGTTGCGGCAGAGGTTTCGAAGTATCGCATGCCATGCGTAGAGGCAAAGTCCTCGCCTTCAGCCCTTGTCACCACTCTCCTTCCAAGATCGACCTGGCCCGATATCAGATTTACCAAAATTGTAGTTCCACCTGGCTACTTGAGGCAAGCCCAGCACAAGACCAAGCACGCATACTAAAGCTGCCAAAGCCGTGAAAGAAAGGAGACTGACACCTTTTAGTTAACTTTTGGATCCCAACTGCTGTCCGCACTGCCGTCAGCACTGCCGTCAGCACTGCCGTCAGCACTGCCGTCAGACCCGGACCCCCGCCTTGTTGGCGCACAGTGCCACAGCAGGAGGACTTTGCGGGGCCTTTTCGGCACGAGACCTGCGCAAAGGCAGCACGAGAGGACTCCGGTTGGCGCGTATGTAAAAAATCCGACGACTAAATTCGGGGCCTAGTGCTTGGTGCTTCTGCACGTCATGATGATGCCGCGCTGGATGCGTAAATCTAGTCAAGTCCAAGCTCCGGGCAATGAGCACTGGTGTCGACTTGCCTCCTCGCGACGAGCCGGGCAAGTACAAGTAAACAAGAACATCCCTTGTGAATCATGTGATGCTGCTGGTCCTCCAACCAAGCAGACAGGTCAGTGAAACTTTTTCGGTTTGTCACGTCAAAGACAAGGAGCACTGCCTCAGATTCCCGCTTCGTGCCGACACTTCATCAAGAAGTACCATTATGTCCAGGTTCATTTGATTGTCCCATAGCATAGAACTCTGTCCGAATCTCCCGGAACTCATCTCCTCCTCGCGGCGTTGCTGCATCAATGGGTAACGAACCTTCAAAGACCCAAAAACTTTGCTTTCTTGCTGCCACTGATTCCTGCAATCGTAGACCTCTTTTTGTCAGACTGCTCACAGTTCCACGGCTTCAGCAAGCCCAGTAAGCGTAGCCCCCCAGCGAGCCCACATGGAGACACGAAGAGCGTTCAAACTCTCCAGACATGAGGAATGCCACTGGAGCTCCAGGCGTCCTCCACGTATTGCCTGTGCGCTACAAAGGTCGACTTTCGAGCCACCGGACCTCCGGGCGTCCTCCGGGCATCCTCAGCATCCTCAGCGTACTACGTTTGTACTACAAAAGTCGACTTTCGCGCACCCGAGCTCCAGATTCTGGTCCAGATGTCCTCCAAAAACACCAAAAGCACATTTTGTGGTGTTGGCGGGTGGAAATCGTGTCCTCCGCCTGGGTCCCGTGCACTGTTTGGGGCTTGCGTCGATCCGCGCCCTGAAAACGTGGCAGGCGCGCGGATTCCTGCTTTTGTTGGTCCGTTGGATGGGCTATGGATGGGTTCGCCGCAGCCAGACGAAGGGGATTTTCAAATCGACACGTCGGTCATTGGAGATCGCGCTCCCGCCTAGGCACCGTGTGCATCGACGTCGCCAGCCTCGAAACTGTCGTGGCTTTTGGACGTCGGGGTTCGAACTGTGTATGCGAAAGGCGAAAGTGTCCTCGCCTTTAGATGTCGAGGTTCGCAATATGCAAAGCTGTCGTCGCTCTTGGTGGTTGTGAAAGACATCCGGATTTGGTAGTGCAAACGTAGTACGCCGGGGACGTGGCTCCAAAGTCGACCTTTGTAGTACAATGTAGTACGCGGAGGACGTCCGGAGCTTTGGGGGCTCGAACGTCAGCTTTCTTTACTTATCAGTTCGTGGTGTCCCCGTGTACTCTCACTGTTTGGGGTCTATCCGTGCATATCGTGTGCCGTTTTACGAGAGTTTCACGCGCGCTGCACGAGCAACTCAATCTTACTCTCCTTGACTCTTTTCGCAAGAACCCCTAGTGTTGGCACCCTGTTTTTAAAAGGCATCCTTGAGACGTCACCTTGTACTTAGACGGCATAGATTCAGTATGGAACATCCAGAAGAGGCGTTCCCAAAGTGCAACCAAGCGCAATTGCCGATAAAAGAACTGATCAATATTTATCAGATCTGTCGTCCTGACGTGTCGAAGAAGTTCACCTTCAATTCGTGCCCGAGAACCTTCACGGGCTTGACGCCGTAATCAATTCCAATGGTTGGAATGTATTTCTGGACGAACCGGTTCTCGCAATATCGCTTGATGAGCGTGCTCTTGCCGACTGTGGCAGAACCTGCTGATCAGCAAGCTGCGGCGCATGAGAGATCTCAGGTCGAAAGTCTGCACGAGAGTCGGAACACAGCTGAAGATCCGGCGCGGGGGGGCCTATAGACATGATCTTCACCCGAAGGGCTTTTGCACCAGACGACGAGTGTGTAGTAGAGCTTGTGGAGCTTGCTGGTGGGGCCTCTGATTCTGGTCAAGAGTCACAGCTTGTCGCAGGATTTGGCAAGTTTGGCAATACCAGACACCCATTGCGGCGAGACGCAGAGGCTTTCCCGGAAGCGGCTGATGCAGATGTCTCCCTCGGCGTATCACCTGCATCTGTAGGCATGCTAGTTCTCTCTTCGAGACTTTACTGGGTTCATGACACGTGCACCCCACATGTGCAACCAACCTGCTCGCCGTTCCTGCAGGGCATCTGAGCTCCACAAGGTACAATGAACACACGCTTGTGCACCAGCGCTCTTTCTGGACGATGGTTCTTCTGCGAGAAATTTGGATCATTGCTAATCTTTGCGCTCATTTCTTGAAGGGCTAGTTGTCTGAGCATGTTGCGACATGTCAGCTGTAATTGCTGTGATTGTTGCAGTAACATCGTCATCGGGGCTGCTGTGTCCACGTCCGGTTCGACAGAGAAGATACAAGTGCTCCGTCTGCTGCTGACGTAGCATCTTCGAAGATGGGAATGCTCGGCGAATGAGTGTTCAGCGGTTGCTCGTGGTGCGAATGCTCGGGTGATTACCTGTCGTTGTAATTCGAATGCTGAAAGTGTAAATGTTGCCACTCGGCCAACATGCTGGCATGCTGCTGACATGTTGCATACCCACAGGCACAAGTCACAAGTGACTGCATCCTGTCCCGGCTTGCATCCTCAAGGGTATGAGTAAGGGTATGGGCATGCCCCACATCCGAGGGAAGTCCTTCCGGTCCCGAAGAAGCGCCAAGAGGTCGGCCTCTCGACTCATGGGGCCAAGCGCATGGAAAGTATCCACGCCTCCTTGACTCCTTGGCAGCCTTCTCGAGGCAGCCGTCATGATCAATACCCAGAGCGGTCAGCAGCTCCTTCAGCTCTTTGATGGAGAGGCTGCCTTCCACAGTTGTAGCACACGAAGCTCATCATGAGTTCACATCGATCACAGGCCTGGATCAGACGGAATTTCCACAGCGCCGCTAGGAGCACGCGGTTTTGGTGGTGCTGCGCTGGGTGCCCTTGCAGAGGCACCTGTAGCGACAGCAAGGGCAACACAATCGGCACTTGGCACGGTATGTCGGCGCACCTGCAGCAGCCGCTCGCGGCGGAGGTGGAGCTGGCCGCTCTGGCGGCCGTTCCATGGAAGCATCGCGGTTGAAGCGGAACCCGCCGCCTGGACTCCGGGCTTGGTTTTGTTTCCTCATTTTTCCGTTTTTTGTTCCTTTTTCTTGTTTTTTCCGTTTTCTTGTGGGGGACCTCTTGGCTTCCCCCTCTCTAGGAAAAGCTACATTCCCTCAATATTTTCATAGGATTCATACTACTTTTCGTAGGATTTCTTATTATCTAAGGATGGGTTTCAACAAAGATTCATAGGTTTTGAAGCAACCTTTGCACGGCTTAAATAAAGCGGGGGTGGGGGGCGCAACCCCCCCCCCACCCCAATTTGATTAATGTTGTTTTTGGTTCGTTTTCTTGGTTTTCCGATGGGCTTGAAGCATGCTAGAAGCGCGGGGGGGGGGGGGGGGGGGGGGGGGGGGTGCACGGCTCAAAAAAAACAAACGGGGGGTTGGGGCAAGATTCATAGGCTTTGAAGCACGCCTTGCCCGGCTTAAAAAAATCAGGGAGGTTGGGGGGGTGCAAACAATGCTGACATGATGAGTTTCAACAAGTACTTAGGCTTTGAAGCACGCTTTGCACGGCTTTTTTTGGAAGCGGGGAGGGTTGGTGGCGGGGGTTGCCATTTGCAACACAATGCTCACACCCTTCCTTGCTTGCTTGCTTGCTTTCTGGCTTGCTCGCTTGCTTGCTTGCTTGCTTGCTGGCCTGCTTCCGTGCTTGCTCGCTCTCTGGCTTGCTCGCTCGCTTGCTTGCTTGCTTCCAGGCTTCCGTGCTTGCTTGCTTGCTTCCGTGCTTGGGCCGGAAAAAATGAGAAAACATGAAATCAAATAAACAAAAAACACCGCCACCCTGGACTCCCAAGTGCCGTAACCACCCAGCAGTTCGTAGGTATACGAATAATAATGGTAATAGTAATTGATTATTTATACAAAGAAGCTTCATAGCAATAGTGATGTCATAGTAGTACTAAGAATATTTGCAGTCAGGTTTTGGGGCTCCGTGGCAGTGCTGTCGTCCGCACAGGAAAGTGGGACCGCCGATCCAGGAGCTGAAGGACACGATAGGGAACACTACGGGAGCGAGCCAAATCTTTGAGGGGCTACAATGGGCGGGATAGATCAGGGAAGCCCCAAAAGCTGGATGGCTTTTTGGCTTCCTTCCATAGGGAGGTTGGCAAGCATCCTGGTCCTTCTCACGAATCAGCTGAGGTTCTGGAGGCACAGCTGATTGACCGCATGCGTGTCTTCCATTTTTTTGCATTTGCTTTCCTATGACCGATTTGTTTGGCCACGCTACAGGTATTCTAAGGTTGCTACCAGGCCCTTAACAAGGTCGCGGCACTTGAAGCGGCGCGCCGCGAACGGTTGAGTGTTACTGGTAAACCTATCAAGCACAAACCGCACCAAAACCAACAGCAGTATCTTTTGCAAGAGAAATGGCAAGTTTTGTGCCCATTGTATAGCCGCAGCATTGAAATGAGACTGATAGTTCTGATCATAAAGAGAATAATCACAATAGTACTTTTCATTGCTAGAAATCACAATATTCATAGTAGCAATGGGGGTCAGAAAGGGAAACATGGTCCTATTTGGGACTCAAAAAGCGCCACTAAACCAAGTGCCTTTTGGAGAGGCTTTGCCTCCAAGCCTTACCACAATTGACGCTTACCAAAATTGACTGCAAGTGGGGGAAAGGCACCACCAAGCCAAGCCTATCAAAGCCAAGAATCTAAATCCCCTTCAAGCTCCACCCAAAGAAACCTCACAAGTAACAGTGTGGATTACATTGATTACATAGGTCTGAGCCGCCACTTCCAAGTCCATCCTTCGAGCGCAGACGGATCAGAGTTGAATCGTAGGCAGCTCGCTTCCTGCCCATGTGTCCACTGACGATGCGATTGCGATCTACAGCATCCAACATGCGGAGGCCTATCATCAGTCAGCGTCTCCACAGCCGCGCCGCATTCTTTGAACTTCTCAGGGTCTCCACCCTCGGCCACCGTTTTGCAGAATGTATCAGATTGCGACCGCCACAGGGAAGGCTGCACAACAATGGCCTTGTCCGGGTGATGCGTCAATGCAGCCTTCTTATACGCTTTCTTGACTTCCTGCGCAACAGAAGGTGCGATAGAAGATTCTTGCGTGCACACTGCATGACTGCGACAATCATCTGCCTCTGCGGTCGCATCTCGCGTGATTCCCAGAATGTCATAGTAGTTCTGTGCCATGGCAGGGGAACGGGACTGAGAATGGCCTTTTGCAGTGGAAGCCTTAAAACAACTCGAAAATGCGTCCAGGACATCTGCTTTTGCAGCTGCAACACTCAACGCATGTCTTGATGCACCTGTCTTTCAACCGATCCTTCATCCATCATGCACCGGGAAATGCGGCGGCAACGGCTTGACGGTGACATTCGGTGCCTTGGGGACCAGAGGAGTGGGGTATGTGGTGGGGATGTAGTGTGCCCAGAAAGTCTGGCACCGCCCAAACCACCCCAACCCACGGGTCTGATGCCTAAGTAGGAACCCTGAAGTCCACGCCAACACCAAGTCACGGCTTCACCTGCCTAGTGATCCGAGTGTCAGCAGCGATCACAGCCGCAAACTCAACTGCACCACCACAATAGTTACCACAACCCGGCGCGGCTCAGTAGATCTAGCCCCTTGACAGCTTCACAAGCTGTTCAGGGCGACCTACAAGCACTTTTTGCTGGCATGGTCGGTGCTGTCTGGTACGTCCTTCCGATGCACTTACTGTCTATGTCTAAGTGTGTATGTACCTGTGTGTAACGATGTCAGACTACTCCTCAATAGCTGAAAGCTTCTCCGGCCCCCGTCTACGAGGTGGCAGGATCATCTGATCCTTTTTTCGGTATCTCAAGACTGCCTCAGGTTGGCGTCGGACGAACTTCTCCGTGGTTTTGTAGCCTCGGCAGTCAGAGCACTAGAACCATGCCCATACAAACAAAAATGGCGCTGTGGACGAAGATGGGTGAACGGGAAAGTGTGGGGGAGGGCCGGGCCGGGTACGGCGGTTTGCAAACAAGGGCAAGAACCATACAGGCATCATCTTTCTCAGAGCCGAGGAGCCAACATGGCCTTGCAATTGCGTGCTTGTTGTTGGCAGAGAGTCCACCATTGTCCACACGCTTTTCGCAACAAAACCAATGAACGCACGAGAACAATTCGATTGTCAGGACGTCCGCCCTCGCAAAAACTAACCGAACAGTCCAAATTCACGAGGCAAATGTTCGGAGATGCGCGTGTTGTCCAAAACAGTGAGAGGTTCGCAAAAAGCTGAGCTGTGCAAAACCCTGACCATTCGAGTAAATGACAACTTCGTAAGTTGGAGGAAAAAAATGCTCTCGGAACCTCCGCACGTTTGCAGAACCGGGAGATGTTCGCAGAAGTTGGAGTTCTTTCGCATTCATGCCTCGAATCATGTCTTATTAGTTCAGTATTAGTTCGTAGTGGCTGTGGCCAACAGATCTCATGCATGTATCTAGATCAGATTTCTTGTGGACCTGTTGCTGAGTGGGGGAAAAATGCTGTCCCTGGCGAGCATTCTGACAGCCAGTCCAAGACGAACGTTTGTTGACAGGGCCGGGTGGGCGAGGATTCTTGGAAGGGTCAACGTTTGGAAGGTACTAAACTTACTAAACCGCAAGCCGCACAAAATGCACTGAGGAAGGAGCCGAGCTTCTCTGGCGCAAAGCCCCGAACCTGCAGAGCTGGTTGCGCAGCAATGCAGAAGTCGAAATCCGGCATGTGCGACATGCAAGCTATGTCTGCAGACACAAGGAACGGCAAAAACGCTCTAGGCCATTTGTGAGCAAGGCTTCAAGCAACACGTGCGTCAGAGGTGGCGAAGTGGCGCACACGTCAACAGCTTCCGGCTTTCAAGGCACTTTCACAATTAAGGCGGGTGCCGAGCCAGCTGGGCAAACGTTTAAAAAGGATCCCAGAGGCCAGAGCTTGCGTGAACTTTCGGCTAACACGTTCTCAATTGCACTGGGGACTGCGCATTGACCATTTCTAGCTTTTCGACCTTGGCGAGGCCAAAGTGGAAAATGGGCCGTGCAACGACCTGGCTTCCACATCAAGACCTCTACGCTGCACCGTACCCAGAGCTCCTAACGCTGCCAACCAACACAGAGACCGCAATCAAGAGCCATTGCGGTTACACCTCATGCTGAGAGCCAAGCAAGCTCGCTCAGCAAGAACCCATCCTGAGACAACCAGGTTCTCAAGTCAAAGCCAAGAAGCCTGAACCAATAAACTACAGAATACCGTATGATGAAACAAGCAAAGACCCCAAAGAACAGGGCATCGGACAACCAAGGCCAATGCAACAAAGAATAATTCAATCCACACACCACAGGCTGTGCCTCCAGTTAAGCCAGGCATACAAAGAACATGGCGCATGGATGCAAGCAGGCTTCTGGGCATTTCTCGGTCAAGAGAAAGCGCATTGCCTTCTGAATCGCCTAGGACATCATTGCGTGGACAGCTCTACTTGCACACCATGATTACTGTGCTGAAGGCTCGCGCCTTTTCTCGTTTACCCTGTCGCTCCATTTCCTCTGCATCTACCTTGGTCCAAGCATACAAGCGCATTCCCTCAAAACTAGCGTGCATACGGCACCCATCCTCGTCATCATCATCCTCGTCGTCATCATCGTCGTCCTCATCATCGTCGTCCTCATCCTCATCCTCATCGTCCTCATCCTTGCTGCCTTTCGCAGACTTGTCCGATGCAACCTGTGCTGGGTGGGCCCCACGGACGTATGCAAAGGGCAAGCTGACCAGTCAGACATGATCAAGCTGGAAGCCGGCGCAGCTTGAGCGGCATAGCCCTGGGAAGGTTTAGCCTGCAAGTCACAGAGCTTGGCGGTTGGTGGCACGTGTGCAGTTCCCGAATTCCCGGTCTTCTGTGCCTAGCGACCTCTAGACTCTAGCGATGCTGCTCCCCCCTCGTGTGGCTGCTACTGTTGCCCACGCCTCCTCTGCTGCCGCGAGCTTTGAAGTCAACTCCTTTAAGGCACATTGTGTTTAGGAGGTGAGGCCACAGCCGGCTTTCCACCTATATCACACCTATGAAAGGACAAGCTTACACAATCCTGTTCCCCGGCAGCTTGAAACATCCTCACCTCCCTTTCGCCCTTCTCGCATTGTTTGTTCTGCCCGCAGAAACCAAGCGAATCCATTTCTCTCTCGTCGCTCCACTTCAGAATGATGCTCTTTTGCTTGCTATCTAGACTGTGTAAGGAGGCAGTGCCAGAGCAGGAAAAGCCAACAATACTCATGATGAAATCGTGAGACTTGGTGTGGGCAGATCTGAACAACGACCCCTCTCGGCCTGGGGCATTGTTCCGAGTTGCTATCTGGCTTATGATTCGTAGTACAAGTTCTTTGTGTGACGCCAGGCGATACTTTTGAGGACAGTTGCGCGGCACTGCAACATACACCACTCCAAATCCTGCGCTCCTGCTGAAATATGATCAGCTTCTGCACGAGGTCTTCCTTGGAGCCCTTCTTGCCTAGACCTGCCAAAAGAAATATGCTCAGGCTATGCACATCCACGCACCTAAATCAAGGTCGATCATAGGCCATCGCTCATGCAATGCTGATGCACCCCAAGGGCCTCTTGCAACGCATTCCTCCTCCAGTTCTTTCTTGGACAAGCCGCTCCTGCACGGAACTCTGCGGAATAAAACCCATGAAAGCCATCTGGCTAAGGCAAGTGTAGGCTCAAGCACGGCAGTGGTACCAGTTTCGGTCACGAAACTTCTTGGCGTCCTTCCGTCAGCTTAGTCTTCGATTCGATGTCGTGCGGCTGAACATCTTCAAAACGATCGCGTGCCTGAAGAATTGAAGCTGCATCTGCCTCTGCAGCAACCTTAGCTTAACGAGGGCGTTGAGACTCACTGCGGTGACATTGCGGTGATCTTGCCCGTCCCCTTCTGCGCTGCAAGTTGGGTCACTCGATTTACATACTCATCTGCTGGCACTGCTGCAATATTGCCTGTGTCCGGCCACTCCTTGATCGGGATAAGCTGCAGGCGTCATTGTGTGCTTTTACCGTTCTACCCTTTTCGGTGCGAGGCTCGTTTTGACACTTTTACTTTTTGTTTACGATTTTATTCCGTTGTGCCACGTGTGGTCGGCTCTATGTTTTACATGCGTACCCTTTTGCTGTGGTCTCGCGGGCAAGCTCTTCTACGTTTTTACGCGCACAGTCCGCTGTTTGCTTATACACTTTTGTCGTTCGCTTCGCGGGGCCGCCCATCTAGGTTTCAACAAAGACAGGCCGCCGCTTCGTGTCTGCTGGCGAGCCCGCTTGCCAACTTTCGTCTTGATACACAGAATTGACGGAATCCAAGTGAAGAAAGTACTTCCAGCACGGTGCTAAGACAGGATCCAGAATTCCGCATGCAAAGCACGCAAATTGGATTTGGGCTTAAGGAATCTGAGGCACCTGCTTCTTTGCCTGGGCCTTCTGCGACACCCTTGTTCGCATCGAACTTTGTCAGTTCAGCCTATGGAGGCAACATGAGGCAGCGAGGCTTAGCACGCGCCCATCGCTCAGACACTCTGCCCAACTTCGTGCCTTCCATCACTGTTGCTTGGCTAGCTGTCGCATATCGTCGCAACTCGCCTTTTGTCAACCTCTTGTGGTTTCAGCCTTGTTAAATCCACTCACCCGGCGCTCTTGATGGCCAGAAAAGCCGTCGTGGCACAGGAGACTCCAGCTCGGGAACCCCCGGCGACCCCCCCGAAGACCCCGTCGAGCCCCCGATTCTCTTTCGAATGCATGCTTGAATGCTTTATCTGCTGGCACCCTGCTAAGCCGGCTTTGTGGAAGAATCCCCATCACTGAATGCAAGGTCTGGCGTGACCCCGCTTGTATGCACAGCAAGTTGCAGAAAGAGAGAATGAGTGAGTGAGTGAGAGAGAGTGAGAGATACAGAGAGAGAGAAAGAGAGAGAGAGGGAGGAGGGTGGGGGGGGGGGTGGAGCGAGGCTTTTAACAGGTCACGGTCGTGGACATGTTCAGCCTCGTGCTGCTGCTCCAGCTCATCCATCTCCTTTTGTGCAGCCTCTTTCATGGCCCCTGCAGATGTCAAACACTCACAAAGACCAAATGGAGGGCGCACAGGTTGCAGCATGCTGGGCGCCTTTGAGCTTCTTGATTTTCTTCTCCAGCTCCTGTGCTGAAGTTGCGGGAAGCTTCAAAGACCATTCAGTTGCCATAAGGGCATGCTGTCCCGATGACTTCCTACAAGACTCTGCAAGACAACTAGCGGGTGACTTGATCCTGTCGCTGCTGCTTCTGCCTCTGAACCAGCTTGGACCTGGCAAAGCTGGAGTTTCTTTTCAAGGACCCAAGACTCAGCAAACTTCAACTGCTTCTGCCTCTCCGCATGAACAGCCTCCATGGCGACTCTGGGTATGGGTGACTATGGCAAGCAGACAACTTCAAGTTCAAAGGGGTGATTGGTGTTGCTCACCGATTTCCGACTGGCAACTCCCTCAGCTCTCAACTCAAAGCTAACAAGTTGAAGAGTGCATTTCAAGATATTTCAAGAGACACTGCGGTACTTTCCTGTGCTAAAGCGGAGAAGCGCAGTCCACCCGACAGAAACCTTGCTGACTCACTGCTTAGTAACTTAGGAGACTTGAATGGCAAGAGGTACACAGCCCAACTGAAACACTCCTCATCTCGGTGTGGTTCTTTACAATGGCCCCCTGTATGGGAACTGTCAATGACTCAATTGCTTACACAGCCGAGCATCTGCGTATGTTCACCTGATTGCAAGAAGAAATCTTCTGACTTGTCGCCACGCTAGATCACGAACTCATCACGACCCTGAAATGATGCCCTGTAAGTCGTGGTGCGGGATGCATACAATAGGACACAGTAAACGCACAGACGCGCACATGGACCGAGATGAAGTAAACAAGAGAGCTTCTGCACTTGATGGAGGACTGCAACGGAGGTTTTGATTTTGGTTTGCATGCACGGATGCATCCGCAGAATTCCGCAGATGCTGCTGCAAGTGAAACAACGCGCCGACTTTCCAGCGCAAGAGCTTCGCAAGTTCTGCATGCTCTAACAGACTCTAACACGCATCTTTGGAACTCTGTCAACCGTTGAAGGAACTGCACATGCAGTTCAGAAGCTGGCGACTCCTCACGGTGCCTTTCGAAGCATCAGCTTGATGAACTCCTGGGTGTCAAAGCTGCGCTTCAGATGCGACATGCTGATGCAACGACGGTCGATATCAAAAACTCAGATCACGGGCTTTTGCCTGGCTGTGTTGCAACAGGGGGCAGGTTTGCTTAGCTGAGTCTGACACTATGCCCAAAGCATCCACTGCTACCCCTTCCCTTCTTTCTCGCACCTTCTTTCGGCGGAAAGCTCTGCGTGGAATTTTCACGTTCGTGTCAGGGTCGGGTTTTGGTATTCGAGACCCGCCTGTTCCTGTTCCAAGCTAGGGCCTGAGGACGGCATCCAGAACACCATGCACTTTCGGGGTCTTCGGCTTTGTGTGACCTGTAGGCTCTAGTACAGCGTGTCTCTTGGTCGCTGAGTGTCTCTGGGTTCACCAAGCTTCGGCTCAATGTTGAGCTGCTCAAGGTCTTCAACTCAACTCTGGGGGTCTACTCACGAGGTTTGCAGCAACCGTCTGCTGACCACCGATTGTAACCCGATGGCTGCCTGACGGATGCCAATCATCTAAAGAACAAGAGCATACAGATTGCTTTGCTTGCTGTTGCAGTTTGAGAAGCTTGGGAGCGGTTTCAAAATCGACTTCAAGCCGAAGTTAGAATCGAGCCCGGCCATGCTTAAACTCCGACCTTTCTCATGGAAAGACATGAGCTGGCCTGGTAGTCCACCAAGCCGTCCTGCCCATCAACTTGGGCTAACTTCACAGCAACAACAAGGTCAGACTTGCAGCCCAACCATCCCAACCTGCTCAGCTGGGTGTTGTGATGCGGCTTCCGCCCGGTACCTGATTCAAGCTTGGGTCCTGGATCCAACCCCCCCCCCCGGGTTAATCTACCAGCGCCCGCGCGAGTCACCACCAGCGCGGGGCACTCACTTAAGAAGTTGTCGAACTGTTCGTCTGTGAAGGGGTTGCTTCCTAGCGACCTGAGCTGGCTGCAAGAGTGCTGCCTCCAGCACTACCGAAAATTGATTTGCTGCGAAGCCCATGCTTCTGCTCGCAGACATCTTCGCATCAGTTGCATCTTTGCTGCTCTCAGCTTTCAGAATGCAGCGAAGTAGCGTCATTTGCTTCCGGAAATCACTTTCTGCATTTACACTGATGAAGCCACTTCCATCTTTGTCAAACACCGCAAATGCTTGAGCCAGCTTCTGCTGGAGGACCACATCCTTGCAGCTTTGCAGTGGAAGTGCAAGGAGACGGGGAAGGGATCAGGAGTTCTTTCACCCTTTGGTTGCAGGCAACCCAAGCGAATCGGCCAGGCAGAGCTAGTTGATTAAAGCTGGCACTCTCCTGCTCGCGCTTGGCCATAATTTGCAGGAAATCTGCAAGTGTGACGGTCCCATGCCTCCAGTGAGTCGAAGCAACAGGCAGTCACCAAAATATCTCAGAAAGTTCGGGCAAACTTCGGGCCTGTCGGCCGCCAGGTCGCGCATGTCCTGCAACACGGAGTCAAACTTGCAAGAAGTAGGGAAAGTCAATGCACCACACAAGCACCGAAACGAGCCTCATCCGAGAGCGTATGCCCACGTGATCTCATCAAGACCCCGAGCTCCGTCTTGCAGGCAAGATTGGATGTGAGCTGGCTATCTTTGCCAGATTAAAGGTACTCGTGTATGCGCGTGCATCTGAACTGCCACACGTACAAATGGACCGCCACCGCGGAATGGTTAAGGCCGCGCTTGCACCCGGCGGGGAATAATGACCAGGCCGTGTGTTCACTGTTTTTGTCACATGCTTGTTGCTGTTCCTCTCCTCGAAAATGCCCAACATCAATCAGAAACTCGGGTTCGGGCGTGGCCTTGAGTGCATTGCTGTTTGTGTCACGCGTTTCAGCCACGGCGCGCTTGCATTTTACGACGAAATCGGTATTGCGTCACGGCGTTACAAACAGCCGCTGTGCCCTGTTGCCGGGCATAGGGCGTAGAAGGAAGCAAAGGTAATGCTCAGGGAATAGAAGGCTCTTAAAGGGGAGCGAAGCCATCTGCGACTAAATCTGATGCTGCAACATCCCGGAAACGCTCTGAGTGAAGAACTGGTTGCAAGACACCGCTGTGATTCTTGTCCATATCATTGAAAGCCTTCAGTCAGTGCGTCAGAGAGCAGGGAGCAAAGTGGAACAGCTCCAGCCGATATCGCCTCTGTGTACACACGAACCTGTTCTTCCGTCAGTCCAAACTCCATATCGCCTCAAGAAAGCTTGGCAAAAACCAGAATACACTGCCACAGAAGTGTGGCGACAAAAACAATGTACACTGCCGCTAATTCTTGTCTTGAGGCAAGGCACTTCCGCAAGTGCTGCCGGAATGCTTCGTACGATTTTTTCTGTACACGTGCTACGCTATGAGAGCCAAGACGGGCGAGGACACTTGCAGAATGTTGCATCCACACAAGAGACTCCGTTGGTGCTCATAGTTGCGGCAAAAGTACTCCACCCGACCCAGCTCTGTGCAAGGTCAGCAGAATTCAGGCATCTGGACCCATTACACACGCTGCACTACACGTGACACTAGGCCCGGCATAGTTTTGCGCAGAACTCGATTTTCTTCTTCCATGGAAGTTTGACCAGTCGGTTGGCTTGTTGCTGTTGGGTTAGGTTTGATTGTTTTTCTTCTTGTGGGCTGGTCCATCCTCCGACCGAACCATTTGTCCATGTTGCTGCTCAAGAGACTTGCCAGTGTAGTGCCTTAGCTACTTGCTGTTTCTTTTGCACGAAAATGTGGCTTCCTTGGTCTTGCTCTCTTAGGGAGCGCTCTCAGGATGTCACCTGCCTAGCCGACGAGCCCGCCACGTGAAACGCGTGAAAGGTTCCTCCTCCTAGGAAAGACTCACAAATGAAGGGTCCTCGAAAGCACCTCGCCCGATTCCCTCATGAATAGCGTGCCAACGCTTCACCATGCTCAGCACATCCTTTCAATTGAAGCCTTACGAGAGCAGCTTACCCTTTTCTATTCGCCGCGGTTATTGAAGGCGAGGACAAATTCGTAAGTTTTGTACATTCACGTTCAAGCACATGGCGTGTGCTCAGAACGTGCTTGATGCCATGGCTATCTTTGCAGCCACAGTGTCGTGCTTCTTTGTACACTGACTTCAACGACCGAGGGTGCACAACCAAGAACCTACCGAGTCCCGAAAAGTCGGTGCTTGAGTTGAGGATTCCTTGGGTTGGCTCGCAAGGTGCATGTCCACGATGAGGAGACCGGCACCATCAGCAACACGGCCAAAAGCACGCAATAACTTAGCCTGGGACTTGCTGACGATTTGACCTTCAGCGTTCTCTGCTGGGAGGATTTGCTCAGACTCCCCGGTGGCCTGATCGGGACCGCAACCCACGAAGTACGGGCCATGGTGAAGCCTCTAATGACTCTAATGAAAATAAAACGCCTGTTCCCCGACATCTCCGGAAGCGCTGGGAAAGAAATAGTCCTGGTCAGGAACTGGGAGCGAAGCGATTGCACTCCATGACACAACAGAATTTGGAAAGCGCCTGGTACTTCTGTGCACTTGGAGCCAATCCATGCCCCATCGTAGCACCTGCCACTGCCGTGGACACACAGCCACGCGCAGACATGAATACCAAGCAGGAGGCAAGACCCAACTCAAATCGAAACTGTAGGAAGTGCACCCAGAGGTGGCTGGGCAGCGCAGCCCGGGAAGCGAGATCCAGCATCGATGTGCATCTGGCATGAATTCGAGACAACCGTTATAGGACATCCGTTTGCAACATCCGCAAGCCAGAGCTGTGAAAGGTGTGCTTTGCCAGGATTGCTCGCTCACGGGTGCTCAATGAAAAGCCCAGCGCATCCCGCTTCGTTTGCACCTGGCACTGCATCAACGTCTGCATTCAGGTGTCCTCCGATGCGTTCGCCATGCGTTCTTGCTGATCGGCGCGGGGCACACGCTTGCTAGTCGTCGGTGGCCTCAGTCAATGGCACCGCCAATGACCCCTGCACGCACGAGTACCACAACCAAGCTACAGCGAGCTTCCTGCCATATCCACTTCAGCCGTTGTCAGTTTACTAGTTAAGTCTGTTTAAGTCTGTTTCACGGGATCAGAGCAAAGATGAGGACCTGGCGCCGGCTGCAATGGCCGCACGGCATCTCTGGAAGCTTTCACCTGATGTTGGCACAGACATGCGCAGCCATTTTGTAAGCTCGTGATCACTAACAAAGCCAGCCATGCCGCCAAGTAGCTAAGTCGGAACCCACTTCCGATCGCACCACTTTGCTGGGCTCTGCATCTGGAGGCAGTGCTACTTCACAGACCCACAAGCTTCTTGTCATCGAATCAACCTGCCTGGGCCTTGGTTTTGTCGAGGCAGGCTCATCTCGGCGGGTCTAGATGCCTCGCAAGCCATGCTTTGTACTGAGGAATGACTATGCATGATCATAACTTGTCAAGACGTTGAGGCTGAGCCGGCCTCATCGACCGCGGGCAACGCAGTTACGCCGCCGCTGCTGCCCTTCCTCGACCAGGAACAGGAAAGTCCACCCGTGATGAATGATGGCTCCAACATGTGTGACACCGGTCAGCATGTCTGAAGCATGAGGAAACGGGGTTGTGCAAGGTTTTCCGAACGATCGGCACAAACGTGCGCTGCGAGGTGGCGCACGCACAAGGGCATGCAGCATGCCACGCCAGTCCAGCTGGCCACCATCACTCCACCGTTTTGAGAGAGAGAGAGAGAGAGGGAGGAGAGGAGAGAGAGAGAGAGAAAGAGAGACAGAGCGCACGCAATGCGAATGTTCGAAAACGTTCGCTGCGTACAGGAATGCGGGTTGAAAGTGAGGAACACACGGTTGTCGGTCCACAGCTGAGGATAACGCACGTGAAATCACGTAAGCTTCTGCGGTGCATTCGCCATTCCTCTGAGGGCCCTTCAGCGCCGCTTGCACCTTGCCGGGTGCAGCCTTGGATGCGCCACCTTGCCACATCAATACCAGAGCTAGCTGCAGGCACAAGCTGATGTTCAGGCCAATGGCGAACACAGACTGGAGTGTCCATGGTCAATACAAGAAAGTTATGGAGGCCTTCTTCACTGCGCGGCGGCGCTGCTCCTTGTGAAATTTCCTTGCGTTAAACACTTCACCGCGAGCCTAGACAAGCAACTCTGTAAACCACCCTAACCCGATATAGTTTCTTCCGTGTTGTACAATGAACGGACTGAACAGGAGCAGCCACTTGTAGCACTCCTCATCACAACTAGTCGCTAGTCCATTCTTCAAGCAACAGACGACTAGCACGCTGCGGCAGTGCACACGCAAGTAGCAACCTACCTCTGATCCCACCAAGATCACACGCGCACGCCTGCGCCCCGCACATCCTCCCGTTCTTTCCCCAGAACACTCCTAGGTCCTAGCATCTCGCAGCATTCAGTACTGAACGTGAGCTCTCTCCCGCCTCGTACTCCTTCCTCGACATGGTTGCGGGCTTGTTGCTCTTCACCTTCTGATGGGAAGAGCCGGCCAAATGCCAAAGAATGCATGCCAATTGAGTTCTGATCACCGACCTTCTCTCCTTTTTTGGTTCGGTTTCTTTCTTCGAGCTGCACGCCGGGTGACATGACCATTGCCTGCAACGCAGGCGTGGTGGCCAACATGTTCTGCACAGTATTGACTCGTTGACTGAGAACATCCTAGACGACGGGAGTCTATTCAACATACCTGGGTGAATGCCATGAGGTAAGTCCAAAGTAGAAGTTGAGACTGCACTGCCTGAGCCAAGTAATTCCAAATCGAATCCCTTTGCAAAAAGGTGCCTCCATCATGGAAGGTTGCTGCGACAAGAACTTCTTGAAACCATCCTTGAAATCGACGGAATTTTCCCTGACGGGCACTGCTTCCACACTCGGCAAGAGCATCAAAAGCAACTCGAATCCTCACTTTCTTTGCGTGCCTTTTGCTCTTGGTGTGTTTATCGCCTTAATTCGGCACTCACCGGATCGTATGTGAGGTTTGGGCTTGCGAAACTGAAGGCTGCAGCAGCCTCTGAGGTGCTTGCGTCGGGCAGCTTTCTTCTCTGGTTGTGCTTTCTGGTCTTGCTGCGAGACTTCCTCCTGCGCAAGCTGCCACATGCGAGTCCTGCGCTCGTATATGCAGAGTGCATCCGGCTCAGCTCGGGCCTGCTTGCACACGAAAGAAGGTACTGGGTTCGTGTTGGGCAATCTGTGGACTTGTGGTGGCTGAACCTGCAGACATCTGCAGACCATGCCGATGTGATTCCAGGAGCAGCACCACCCTATCCCCGAGTCGTCGAGGGCTGACCCAGATGACGTTGCCGTCAGCATCGTAGGTGAACTGCTTCTTGTCATCCTGACATGAGGAAACCAATTGTGCAAGAAATGGTGCTGTAATGTGCTGTACTCACGAAACTTGCGAACCCAACCTTGATTTGTGCCAACCTGGCGGCTTCTTCGATCTCTGCTGCCTGCACACCACACAACGAAAGGAAAAGGCGATGGTGCCAACCGGTTCTGCTGGGAGCCTTCCGCTCTGTGCGAACTTGTTCGTCTCGCATCTTCCTGGCCTGCGCTCTCAAACGAGTGCAGCGGAGAACATTGAAAAAAACAGCAGCTGAGTGATGATTAGCCTCCACATACGAAGCACAAACGTAGCTCCCAGCGCGCCTCTCTTTCTTTCAAGTCTCGGAGCATAGCTTCTTCCTCATCTTCCTGGAACCGATTGTACTTCTAAGAACCGCGCGGCAAACCGCATACTTCGGTGTTCGAACTGCGAGTCTGGAAGCAGTGGCCTACAAAAACCAAAGTCGTGGGCCGTGCATTGTCTGACTGCGAACTTTTTGCAGCAGAATGCGCCGACAAGAACCAATCAATAAAGCATCAATCGACTCCCCGTCACCCGCCCCCGTCCCCTGCTCTTCTTACCTCGCGTTCGTCCACCAGGGGGATAAGTTGGCCTCTTGTTGTCAGCGCCTTCGGTGCCTTACTGCTATCACTTTGCAATCCTCTTGGTGTGGACAACAGAATCTGGGAGAACTTGCACTTCCGGCCTCCACCTCCTCCGAAACGGTCTGAGGGCCAAATCGTGATGTCGGCCTGCTTCCCGGGCCAGAGACCTCAGCCAGCACAGCGGCCAACACACGCCGTGAGTGTAAACTTATTGTTTATTTTTATATTTATGCTGATACTTTTATTTCTATTTGGTATACATATATATATATATATACACATATCTTTCTTTCCTTCTTTCATCTCTCTCTTTCTCTCCTCTCTTTCTCTCCTCTCTTTCTCTCCTCTCTTTCTCTCCTCTCTTGCTCAGAACAGATCAAAACCATCAAGCCGAAAAAGCCGGGCCAAGAACGGATCCAATGGATGCCTGATGCTGCTAGTGTCCCGAGAAGTCATTTGCGCTTCTTGAAGAATGGCACATCTTGCTACGTCCCAAAAGAAATAGACTGAGTCAAGCTCGCGTGACCCAGACCGCCAAACTTGTCCCTGCAAAGGGATGTGATGGCTTCGAGTTCATGCAGACGACACGTGGCCACGCAACGTCATGAGGGTCAAGCACGCCCTTTCCGCGATTCTTCCTGGGCTGTGTGGCTGAAGTCTCGCTTATCGCAATGAACCTGATCCTTGGCGCTTCGCGGACTTGCGGCCAACTTTCCGAATGGGCACACACGCACGTGCCTAGCAGAAGCACAAAACTGCATTCATGATTCCGCTGTGCGCAGGTGTGACCGCATGAAAGCTAGACATTCGATGACATTCGGCAAAACAAGCCAGATCAGCCCAGGTATCAATTCGACACCTGACACTTGATGACCGACGTGAACAATCCGGTCAGAACAGGCTCAGGCCAAGCCGAAGTGCCTGGCCGGCTCAGCTTCCAAAGCCCATCCGTCCACCTCCAAAAACATTGGCATTGCTGCGAAAATATTCCGATAAAGCCAGACCTTTCGCCTATGCCAACTCTTGGCAAGATAGCATTCAACCCACTGGACAAAGAAGCTGCTTCATGCCGTCAATTCCGTAAATCAGAACGTGCATTCCGAAGCAGTGGTAATTGCCAACAACAACGCAAAATCTGGCACTTACATACTACAAGCTCATGATCGAGCTGGACTAGAATCACAAGCAACACAAGCAGCACATGCAGCGCAAGCAGCGCAAGCAGCACGAGCGGTACAAGCGGCACAAGCGGAACAAGCGGCACAAGCGGCACAAAGAACTATCTTGGAAGTAGATTTACTTGTTTCAATGGTGAACAGATATGATCCGAACTCCTGGTATCTTCAGCATTACATACCCAGCAAAGCCATGGAACGAACACGACCATAACACACTCGCAGCTTTTCTTATTGGGCAAGCACTGACAGCCTCGGTGATCAATGCCGACCATCACTGAGATCATCACTGACTTTCAACACGGTGGTGGCGCACCTGGCTGCTGCTTTGCTCCGCGTCCACGTCGGTCCTTTCGCAACGTGGCACTCATTCTGGCAGCGCTGGGACAAGAGATGCATGCGACGCCATACACAACTTTGAGGAGCAAAACTGGTGGGCGCGCTTGATGAGGAAAACAACATGAAGCCGTTAATTAAACGTGCATGGCTGTCGCATTCATGAACAACATTGACGTCACCCATGCTCATGTATGCTGCCTTAGCGTTGGGCAGGCACTGCTAAGGATGTCCTGCCCCCCCCCCCCCCCCCCCTCTTGTATACTGACTTGATCAATACAAAACCAAGACATGAAAAACATGGAAAAAATTGGGCCTCTCACCATCAAACATGCGCAGCAAACGAAACAAGACTTCAAAGGACACTGACACGACGCAATACGGGAGCCACCCCCGCTCTGGTACAAATACGCACTTTTCGTCCATTCCACTTGCATTTTCAAACTTCAGGATGTCAGCAATTTTATGTTGGGGTGTGTGTGTGCGCGCGCCCCTGCGAGCGCGTGCTTTGTTTTGGTTATCAGTACGCATATCATCCGATGCGAGTTTTCGCTTGCCCTGAAAACTGCAAATGGGCCTGCACATTCTTCTTAAGACCGAACGAAGGCGCTTCATCAGCAAGGGCGTTTCATTCTTCTTCGAGGACTGAAAGCAACATGCAGATTTTTGATATAACTCAGGAAAGTTGAGGGTGAATCAGCAAATTTGCTAAGTTTCTAGCTTGCGACGAGCCACAAGCGCAGAAAAATACCCTCAATGCCTTGGCACGCCAATGTTTTGGAGACAGTTCTACTTCTAGGTACTCCATTCGTTGTACAGGTGCCTCTGATGTCCCCAGGGTTCAAAAAATTGTTTCGATTTGGCAGACCCGTTGAGCTCCGTTTGTTAACTCCAGGGCTTGGACATTCCCACACAACTTCCGATACAGCGTGGCACTGACTGAGAGGGATCAATAAGCCTACAAGCTCCTGGCGTCCACGCTTGACGCAGCAGGTGCTGACCCCGGACGCGGAGCCACCTCCAACGCTCCTGCACTTGTCCAGCAATTTTTGACCATGCCCGTCGGTGCTAGAAGGTTGGCCTCGTGGGGTCGACATGCCACCCTGCAACCACAAAGTCACAAAGTCCAAGAAGAACACACAAAACATGAACGTGTCGAGACGTGTCAAGATGGGTCAAGATGTGTCAAGATGTGTCCAACACCTCTGTGCTCTTCGGTCTCAGGCTGTCGGCGGGGACGCCCGGCTTGGAGTGATCTAGCCGAGCCTCTCCCGTGTCATGACCTGATGCAAAAACTCAAGTACTGCTTTCCCCTTCTGAGCTACTGAGCTAGTGGGATTGGGGGCTGTAAGATGGCTGCACGCACTGCGCAATGCCTCCCTGAGCACACGGCGGACAAAGCGCAATTTCATCTCACCTGTGAGAACCTCGGATATGATTTTAAACCTTCTCTGCTCACATTGTCCATTCTGCAAGCAAGTTCACCTCGCAGAAGGCATCCGCAGCGAAGCCGAAGGATTTTCGATGGATGTAGCTCTCGTACAACAATCTACCACCTTCTTGCAGGACCTTGGTGCATCGACACTGGGTCGCCATCAGGCCCTCACAATGTTGCTGCATTCCCCAAGCTTGCCACACGCCAGAATGCGGATAGGAAAAATAGTTGAATCTATCCATAACACCAAACGTTGAACCATGGTCGGAGCTGAGAAAAAAGGATGGGGGAGGGGGGTCGGGGGGTTGGCGGCCCCCCGTTTGCGAACACAATCAAGGACTCACAAGACAATACAAGACAAGGCAAGACTATACAATACAATTTTATGCAATACATGTATACATACATACATACATACATACATACATACATACATACATACATACATACATACATACATACATACGTACATACACACATACACACACATACTCACACACACATACATACATACATACATACATACATACATACATACATACATACATACATACATACATACATACATACATACATACATACATACATCTATACATGCATATACAGGTGTATATATATATATATATATATATATATATATGGTCAGCCCCCCCCCCCCCATGATCCACACCTATGGTTTTCTTGTCTTCGTCTTTGTCTGATTTTCTGCTTTTTCCTCGGAAAATGCAGTAAAAACTGCACTGGAATACAAAAAGCTCCATTATATTCGCCTCGGCTTCCTGCCGAGAAGCGTCTGGAACAAGCAGACCCGGATCGGGCCTCCTTCCCCCTCCCAACCCTTCCCCCCATGCCGAATTTTTTGACGCCACCCCCCCCCCCGCCCTGTGGGACCATTGGAGGAGCTGCAAACCGATGCCGTGGAGGGTCCCGCTTGTCGGTGCCTCCTACACCGGAGTGCCTAAAAAACCGCCGCCCCCCCCCACCCCCCCCCCCCCCCCCCCCACCCCCCCCCCCCCCCCCCCCACCCCCCCCCCCCACCCCCCCCCACCCACCCCCCCCCCCCACCCCCCCCACCCCCCCCCCCCCCCCCCACCCCCCCCCCCCCCCCCCCCCACCCCCCCCCCACCCCCCCCCCCCCCCACCCCCCCCCCCCCCCCCCACCCCCCCACCCCCCCACCCCCCCCCCCCCCCCACCCCCCACCCCCCCACCCCCCCCCACCCCCCCACCCCCCCCCCCCTCCGACACCCCCCCCCCCGACCCCCCCCCCCCCCCCCCCCCCCCCTCCCACCCGCTCTGCCCTCCTCCCTCCTCCCTTTTTAACCCTCTTTCCTCCTTTCCTGTCCTGGGGCCGGCCCGGCTGCTGAGGCGGCGCGCGCAAGCGTTTACAATTATCCTCTATAAAAACACTAGTGTTTTTAATGTGCATTTTGCTTCTGAAACTTGTGTCTTGCGGCTCCATAAAATTTTAGAAGGGTAGCCATTTAGAAGTTTAAGGCTTTTCAGGGTTTTAGGGGTTTGTGAAAATTTAGATGATCTGTAGAAGGCACCGGGGGCTTCCCCAGACCATTTGCAATTTTAAAAGTCCTTAAAAGGGGCAGCCCTTTTCAAATTTGAAGGGCTTTAAGGTATTTAAAGCCTTTCAAAATTTTCAAGATTTAAAGGATCTTAAAAGGCATTAAAGCCCTTAAACAAGCTCGAAACGTTTATCCCTTAAAAGTCTAAAATTCCTTAAAATTTAAAATGGGCAGCCATTCAAAATTAAGGAAGTTACGGATTTCAGAATTGAACATCCAAAAAATCTTTAAACTTTAAAAGGACAGCCATTTGCAACTGTAAGAATTTCAGGGTTTTACGGATTTGTAAAAATTTATATGGTCTGGGGAAAGCAACGGGGCTTCTCCAGACCAAAGGCATCTTCAAAATCTCGAAAATCCGCAAAGGGCAGCCACTTAAATACGTAAGCAATTTAAGGTCTTTAAAAGACTTAAAAGGCTTAAAACCTTCATAATCCTGAGAATGTTTAAACAGAAGCTTAAAGATCTTTATAAGATTTTAAGGATTTTAAAAGTTTAGATGGTCTGGGGAAGCCCCAGTGCCTTCCCCAGATCATGTAAACTTGCAAAAACCCTTAAACCCCTTACATAACCCTAAAAACCAAACCCGAAACCCTTAACACTAAACCCTAAACACTCAGCACCAGACCCTAAACACTAACCCAAAAACTTAGCACTAAGCCCTTAGCACAAACCCCAAACACTTAACATGAAACCCTAAACACTTAAGCACTAGACCCTAAACACTAAACCCTAAACACTTAAAGACTACACCCTAAAAACTAAACCCTAAACATTACACACTAAACCCTACACACTAAACCCTGAACACTAGTAAAAATCCTACACTAAACCCTAAACACTTAAAGACTACACCCTAAAAACTAAACCCTAAACATTACACACTAAACCCTACGCACTAAACCCTGAACACTAGTAAAAATCCTTTAAACCCTTAATCCAAAAAAACAAACCCGAAACCCTTAACACTAAACCCTACACACTCAGCACCAGACCCTAAACACTAACCCAAAAACTTAACACTAAGCCCTTAGCACAAACCCCAAACACTTAACATGAAACCCTAAACACTTAAGCACTAGACCCTAAACACTAAACCCTAAGCACTTAAAGACTACACCCTAAAAACCTAAACCCTAAACATTACACACGAAACCCTACACCTAAACCCTGAACACAAGTAAAAATCCTTAAAAACCTGCAACCCAAAAAAAACGAAACGCTTAGCACTGAACCCTAAACACTCAGCACTAGACCCTAAACACTAACCCTAAAAGCTTAACACTAAGCCTTTAGCACGAACCCCAAACACTGAACACGAAACCCTAAACACTTAAGCACTAAACCCTTACTAAACACTAAACCCTGAACACTTAAACACTACACCCTAAACACTAAACCCTAAACATTACACACTAAACCCTACACACAAAACCCTGAAAACTAAACCCTAAACCCTAAACAGAAGGATTTTTCAAGTTGTCAATGGTCTGGGGAAGCCCCGGTGCCTTCCCCAGATCAGTCAAATTTGTAAAAGCTCTTAAACCCCTTAACCTAAAAACCAAACCCGAAACCTTTAACACTAAACCCTAAACACTAGCCCTAAAAACTTAACACTAAGCCCTTAGCACAAACCCCAAACACTTAGCACGAAACCCTAAACACTTAAGCACTTAACCCAAGAACTAAACCTTACATATTTCAAACTAAACCCTAAACATTAGACACGAAACCCTGAACACTAAACCCTAAACCCTAAGCAGTAAACCCCAAAGCCGGAACCTCGAGCCCTGCTAAATCTAAACCTGAAACCAAAAACCCGTCGGGGTTTCAGATGCTTACTGTTAGGGCTTCAAAGTTCAGGGTTTTATTTGGGGTTTAGCCGAGCCGCTTGACCCTAGACCCTAAACCCTTAACTTAACACTCAACCCTAAACACAAAACACTAAACCCTGAAACCTACACACTAAACCCTAAACACTAGATTTCCAGAAAAAATCTGGAGTACCCGGGCCCCGGACTCCAGACACTAGATTTCCAGAAAAAATCTGGAGTACCCGGGCCCCGGACTTCAGACACTAGATTTCCAGAAAAAATCTGGAGTACCCGGGCCCCGGACTCCCGACTCCAGATTTCCAGAAAAAATCTGGAGTACCCGGGCCCCGGACTCCCGACTCCAGATTTCCAGAAAAATCTGGAGTACCCGGGCCCCGGACTCCAGACACTGGATTTCCAGAAAAAATCTGGAGTACCCGGGCCCCGGACTTCAGACACTAGATTTCCAGAAAAAATCTGGAGTACCCGGGCCCCGGACTCCCGACTCCAGATTTTCAGAAAAAATCTGGAGTACCCGGGCCCCGGACTCCCGACTCCAGATTTGCAGAAAAATCTGGAGTACCCGGGCCCCGGACTCCCGACTCCAGATTTCCATTTTTCTGGAGTACCCGGGCCCCGGACTCCAGACTCCAGATGTCCAGAAAAAATCTGGAGTACCCGGGCCCCGGACTCCAGACTCCAGATTTCCACAAAAAATCTGGAGTACCCGGGCCGCGGACTCCAGACTCCAGATTTCCAGAAAAAATCTGGAGTACCGGGGCCCCGGACTCCAGACTCCAGATTTCCAGAAAAAATCTGGAGTACCGGGGCCCCGGACTCCAGACTCCAGATTTCCAGAAAAAATCTGGAGTACCCCCAGACTCCAGACTCCAGATTTCCAGAAAAAATCTGGAGTACCTCCAGACTCCAGACTCCAGATTTCCAGAAAAATTCTGGAGTACCCGCGGCCCCAGACTCCAGATTACAGACTCCAGAATCTGGAGTCCAGGGTCCCGGTACTCCAGATTTTTTCTGGAAATCTGGAGTCTGGAGTCTGGAGGTACTCCAGATTTTTTCTGGAAATCTGGAGTCTGGAGTCGGGGGTACTCCAGATTTTTTTCTGTAAATCTGGAGTCTGGAGTCTGGGGGGTACTCCAGATTTTTTCTGGAAATCTGGAGTCTGGAGTCCGGCATACCCCCTTCCCGAGGCCAAATGTGTGGATCATGGGGGGGGGGCGAGCTATATCTATGTGTGTGTGTGTATATATATGTGTATATATTGTGTATTTTTACATATATCAAAAAGTGCACACATGTGTGTATATATACATAATGCAATACATACTATGATAGTATGATAGTCTATCATACATAATCCATCATTCTTAATCATCGTAACACCAACCCACAAGAAAGTATATGCCAACCCACAAGAAAGCATATGACGAAACAGAAGTTCTCCGATTATATGGTAGAAAGAAATAGAAGTTTCACAGTGATGTGAGAAAAAGAAAAAAGGAAGGTTTCCTATTGAAATATAGAGAAAATAGAGGCTTTCCTTGCAAAATACAGAGCAAACCCTAAGCAGAAAAAACAAGAAAAACTCACCCCTACCCCAAAAATTAGCGGCGATAAGATGTCCGTTTCATTCCGATTTCTTCAAGATGTGTCCACCGTCTGCAAGCACTGCAATCATTGTCGGGACCCGGCCTGGTCCAGAACCGTCTCCACCACAAGTTCAGCATCGGAAAACGGGTCCAGCACGTCAACCGGTTCGGCATCATCCATCTTCGCCGCGGAATGACTGTGGCATGCACAACATGTCCGTTTTGGAGCATGCCGGCCTCTGCCGCTATGGCTTGAACCACAATGGCGCAGCAATGACAGCGAAGCAACGTTTCGCACAAGCAAATCATTGAAGCGCATCCGAAAGCAAAGGCTGCATGAATGAGATTCCGCATGACCACGCTGATACCAATAGGATCTCGTTTGCCATTCAAGATTCCATGTGGATTGCGTGTTTCATGACCGGCACATCCCGTCTCGCCTGGATCGTTTGCTACCATTATATCCCTGCCCATCTGCAAAACCGCCCACACGGCAACGTGATTATGTGATATGTTCGTCCGTGGGTTTTTTCGCGTTTTGTTTTCGCAGCCGTCCGTGGATCCGGCTCAAAAACCTCAAAAGCCCACATTTCCGTTTTGTTCGCTGCGGGCGTGTTTTTGGGACATCCTTGCCTCCAATGTGGCCTACCTACTTTTGCGCAGCGCGCGAGATGGACCACACACACCCGACATCATCGCACATGAGCGGCAAAAAACTCCGCAAATGGAGCACAGTTAATCGTTTGCATGTGAACTCATGCTGAACGTGGCCCGTCATGTTTTGTCACAGCAAGAGGCAGCCCATGTCCCGCACAATGCAGTCGGTGGCCTGGCACAGAAGTGCACATGCGCGTGCATGTTCGGCAAACAATTACAAACAACTGCACACAGAAGAAACAGAGACCGTGTCGCTACACCCCTGCTCCTCAAGGGCACATCCTTGTCGTTGCTTCTGCGTAATCTTGAAGCTGTTTTTTGGGTGACCTAAAACTCCGGCTTGGCCCAATGCTTTGAAGTCGTCGCGACTACTTTAATTGCGTGGAATAAGGCTGAATAAGGGAGGTTTTCAGGACGCGATTTCGGCAGCCAAGATTCGTACCTTACATAGCCCACTTCACTCTTCATGCCTTCACTATTCCTATTTGTGTTCATACGGTTCACAAGCCCCACCAAGATTCGTGCCCTTCATAGCCTAGCTCCGTGTTGCCTGATTGGTCACAAGGGTCCCTTCCAAGATTTGTTGTTGTTGTTGTAGCCTTTACAAGATCACTCACCCCCGCTACGACAGAATTGAACTGCATGGACTAAATGGAACTGTTGACCGTGAACCGTGAACATTTTCGGGAGATCGCACAGAAACATGCGACTTTTGCCCGAGGCACGCATAAAACACGATTTCCTTGTTGTAGTGCTACCATGTGCTACCGTTGTAAAGAACATTGGAGTCCACCAAAGATGTGACTGTTGTCTGTATACCCCACGCACGGAAAGAAGCTACATGTGTCCGCGGTGCAATCATTGCAAAGCATTGGATGTCTCAGCAATGCGACGTTTGACCGTGAACCCCAGCACAGAGAAAACGCGCATTGTTTCGGTAAGCTCTTGGAAAAAGCTTAAACATGCGACCGTTGTCCGTGAACCCATGCACAGAAGAATCCGCATTTGGTCCGTACAACAGCCGTGCTTCAGAAATGCTTGCGCCTGCACGGGAATACATGCGACTTTGGTCGTGAAGACATGCACAAAAGTAAACCGCTTGGAACGTATTTAGGAAAAGAGTATTGGTTTGCAAGGACAACAACGCAACTTTTGTCCACCAACCGATGCGCAGGAACAGGTCGGATTTCCTGTTCATCGTGAAAAAGTACATGCAGCCATTGTAAGTCGAGTGTTGCACTGCACAACTTCGCCGCATCTTGCCGCATTGCATTTCGCTCCCTGCTCGGTGGGATTTCTGCGAGGCACTCCAGAAATTCTGGGTGGGACTTTCTGTGAGGACCCAGGCTAGGAGAGCGGGCGAGGAGCACAAGCGGGAGAGTGGCTGTAAACCCCAAAACGCCCTTGACCCTAAACCCTGAGACCTCACAAAAGCCTAATCAACCCGAATCACAGACCCCGCCCTAAAGCCTAAACTCAAAACACCCTAAGGCCGAAACAACCCTTAACCCTAATAAACCTTAATCAAAAACCCTAAATCGTAAAAAGCCAAAAGCCCCAAACAACCTTTTTTTCCAGACCCTACCGAAGCCCCAAAGCATCATAAACCTGAGCCCTGAACCACGAACCCTAAACAACTTTGAGCCCCGAACCCTAAACAACCCTGAGCCCTGAACCCTAAAGCAAACAACCCTAATCCCTATTCAGCTCCAGTCTGAGAACAACATGCACCCGGTCGCGCAAGACTGAACCTCCCATGGGTGCAGATGGGCCAATATAGTACTAGTACCAGTATGGGTACGAGTACGAGTACTAGTACTAGTGCTAGTGCTAGTACTAGACCAGGGGCAAGGATCTGAATTCCAGAATCAGCGAAAGCAGCATGGAAAGAACTCAAGCCCGGGACAAAGAATGGGCGAATGGGCGAATGGCCACTGGGAGACTGGGCAACTGGGCGAATGGGCGAGTGGGCGACTGGGCACATGGGCAAATGCCCTGCTCTGTTGCATCTTTGAAACAAAACTCACCAAGAGTCGAAACAAAGCCCCCAACAACGTAGCATCACATTGATGGGAAAACGTGCATTTAACCTGAATGAGCTGAGCAACAGCAACGCATGCCACCAGGCCTCAATCTCTGCCCCGTGGTCCAGCAGCAATGCAGCGATGTCACTGTGCCCGCGGGCTGCTGCGTAAGCCAAAGGGGTTTTGTCCGCCTTGTCAACTGCCTGCATGGGAAAATAATTCAACAACAAAGACCCTCGCACTGAGACTGGCACACCGTGGGCATACGGGAGGGGGTACCACACACACATATTCACACACCAACACAAACAACTAGGCGATCACACCTGGACTGCACATAGAACCGAAGGATGGTTTCGAGCACAGACTGTTTGAGACAAGTCCTACCCACACACAATCACTGCGTCTTCTCTTCCGGTTGACACTGACTACAGTGTGCTTGTGAATGTGTACCTAGCCTCTTTCTATACATGTTGAGGTCTTCTCAGTGCAACATTTGAGGTTGGCTTGGTGCCGAAGAGCGTCGCGGCCCAGCAGCCCGCACGACTTGCGAAGCAGGCATGAGCTTGAAAGCTGCGCGGGGTATTTCATGCTCAGCACTTGTGGGGGCTCTGTCACTTTCATCATTCCCAGAAGCTATTCCACCGTCCCGCACTCGCTGCTGGTGGCAAGTCTTCAAGTTCATTTCTTCTTCTGGATCCACAGGCCAGGTGGTGGTCTCATTCTTGCACTGGGTCCAAAGGTCTCCTGAGAGAAAAAAAATGCAGTCAGTTGCGTTCCATCACCTTCCGGCTGCCATGTTGTCGCTTTGATCTGCGACACCGCAGTCGCATTGTTGCGACGGCGGCTTTCTCTTCACTGGTCCAACCTTTCCTTGAACACTCCCATTTGATGTGCCAACAAAGCAACAGCCCAAGTGGGCGGGGGCGGGGGCTTCCGACTTCACCAGTGGGGCCTTGAGACCCTGAATCAGACAAATTCAATTACAGCTCAGCCCAGCCAATGGCCTCCACATCTGCTCTTGCCGCAATCAAGATTTGGCAAACCTTCATGGCAACAAGTCAACTACTGCAAAAAATTGCTGGGTGCCGACTCTGCACTTGGATTGGCCTCAAGATGGCCATGCATTGTGGCAAGAGTTAAGGGCGTTCGCCCCTTTCCGTCGCACACCTGTTGTTGCATCTTCTGAAACAAGCCAAGTTCAAGCTACAACTTCCGGATACTTCCGGCTGAGTCCTCCAACAAGTTCGGCTGCTGCGCCAAGATGTGCTTACACACCTTGCCGTCACCGAGCACATCGGCAGATTCATTTCGGGCGACAACTTACAAAAATGGGTTTATCATTTATCATGGTTCATCAGTTTTGGCAGCAGAAAACATCGAACGTGCTTGGATCCCCACATCTACACTCCCAGCAGCTGCTGCTTGTAGAAGATCCTGCGCGCATAGCCGCTTGTGTCAATTGCAGGATGCCTGGAAAAGCTAGTTGCAGCTAGTTTCCAGTTCGAGCTCATTTCGATATTCAAGAACTGTTGGGATTGGGGCCTGTTGGATGCCTGAAGCCTTTTGGGGATCTTCGGTTTTGGAGCTGCCATATGAACCTTGTGCCAAAAGGCACCGTGCTGCTACTGGTAACTTGCCTGTTCAGGCTGCAAGCTTGTTTTTTTGAAGTTGCTCTGTTGAAAGTTACAACAACCGTTTCATTCTTCATGTCGTCAGGCAGTGTCTTCCCACGACTCTGGACATGTTCAAAGCTTTTCTGGACTCTGCAAGCACATCCGCACTCGTCCGCAACGGAAGATCTGCCAACATTCTGGGGCATTCCGCATCACATGGCACAGGATGCTGGCCCGGTGCCAATCAAGATTTCCTGGTACATGTAACACGGGTTAAGGCGAACTCAAACTATGAACATCAAGGTGATAGCGCTTAGAACGGTTTAGGCAGAGTCAGGATTGAGCCGTGAGTTACTACACGGCCAGCGCTCAAGCCCATAACAATGCTCGCACAACGCATACATGAGTGTGTTTCGGGCCTCGCTGCCTCTGCATTGGCGACTCAGGATTATTGCCGATTGCAATCACGCGAAAGGCTCTTTTTGCCCGAGCTATACAAGTCAATACAAGTCGGTCGGGCTTGCCAACTGAAATCTGAAAGATCTGCTCACAGGTGCGAGATGGTGCGAGGTAGCCAACTTTGGGCTCCACGTCCTCCCCGTGGGGCGATACGCCCCGCCAGAAGAGGTCGTATAATTTGTGTTTGACCACATCGACAGTGGACTCGCTTTCCGGTGAGCAGCGTGAATTCTTGCCCAGGCTGGTATGCCCCGAGGCCTTCCGCCCACGCGCTCATGTTCACAGCGCCCTCATATGCTCTCACAATGCTTTCACCAAATGGTCAGAGCACGTGGCTGCGGTTTAAACAAAACTGACAAGAGTGGGAAAGGAATACTGATACTTCGTCAAGATCGTGACGTCACAGACACATCTCAATACTTCAGTATGAAAAGAGCGGAGACACCACCCTTCAGCACATACTGAAGAAATCTGAAGAACCTACGCATGTCGAAGCCTCTGCACATCCTTGCGCAGCTGCGGACTGGACTTCTGTGTAAGTGGTTAGCGCACATCAAAAAACATAGGTGTTGGCGACAGGATGATCCAGAGCTTCCAGGTATTTCCAAAGTATTCAAAGATAGCCAACAGCCAACAACAACAAATTCAGGGATCAATGCTGTGACACCGCAGCACCAATACATGCTGGCTCAGAACTGCTTTGCTGCTGCCCGCAATACACCTGCTGCATCGGCGTGGTTGGAGTGCGTCGCCACGGCAAGAGCCGTCTTGCCTGGACGTCCGCAAAAGCGACCAGACATGGGCAAAAGCAAAAACACACAAACTACCGATCGTGCTTGGGACCAGATATACTCGTAGGCAAGGCACCAAAGCAGTTGCGAGCTTCAGGCTCGGCCTCAGCAAAGCACTAGCAGCTGGCAGGTCAACATTGTCATGCCGAGCCATGGCATGCTAGGGTATAAGCTAGAGCATGCTATGGAATGCATGCTATGGCGTGCAAGGTGCTCGAAAGGCCAGCAACAGTTGCGTGCTTCCCACGCACCCTGCGCGTGCCGCCATGTGAAGCGGAGTCTCCTCAGCTTTAGAGGGCTGAAGCTGAAGGGAAGCGAGGCGGCACAGCGCAGCTCCTTGGAATGCTCGGTGGCGTTTGGGTCGAAGCCTCTTTGCACATAACTGGATAAAGAAGCATACTGACATCATACTGACATCCTATGACCTATGAATCAATCATGAGATATGATACCCTTTTGAGGCCCGTGCCCATTTCCAAAAGCTGCTTCGTGGCTTGGATCTGGCCATGGTGTGCTGCTAGGTGGAGCAGCGAGCAGCCGAAGGCATCCCGCCTCACAGAGGGGAGATGTTGTCGTGTGTCTCTCGGGGTCGGTACCAACCCAATGAAGGATCATTGGGTGGCTGGGGCCCCAGCTCCTCCCTCTGTGCCTTTGACACGAGCCTGGCACTCCAAGCTCAAGCTTTCGGGCTTTGGGCTGCGCATGGCTGCGCTCGACTTTCTACCTCTGCCATTCTTCAGCCGTCTCATCTGCTGCTTTCGGCACCTGACAAAAGCTGCGCGCATCTGCGCCCTCAGCTGCAAATCTGAAACGACCATTGTCTTCCGGGGCCACTTCCTCTTCAAGCATTCTCGTCTCGGCCTCCGACTCAACCTTGGGTCACAACATGTCACAACCAAACTGCTATAGCACACCTCGTGTCCCAACTCAGCACCGCACTTCCACTTGCTCCACAGCCTTCTCCGCAGCCTCAGATCTTTGCATTTCCACAGCGTGGAAATGCGTTCGGGCACGTTACTCCCTGCCTGGTCCTGGTTTGTCCCCTTCAACAGGGCTCGCGTCAATCTGAAGCCTCAGGTGAGATGCCCTCCCTCGAACCGAAAAACGTCTCGTAAACTGAGAGAGCTGAGGATTCGACTGACGAAGGCAGTTGCCCACGCCAAAATGTCTGCATGGATTACCTGAGGGTCTGTGAGTCGAAACGTCGACCCGCGATGCCACTGTGTTTCCGGCCTTCACACCCTTCAGCAGCCAGGACAAAGCAGCCAGAAGTAAACGTGAAAGCCAGTGAAGGTCCTGGGCGAAAGCAAAAAGCAAAGCAAAGCCTCTTCCCCGTTTCACCAGCTCGCCACGCCTCCTTCAGCAGTGCGAGTCCTTCCACTTTGGCCCCGTTGGTTCTCTTGGAAGGTCCCGAAGGCGGCCTGATGCCCACGCCTGACAGTGCGGAGGCATTAACGTTCTTCATTGCGAACGATACCTCAAGTCTCCTCTCGCTGCCTCCCAAGTCCTCCGGGCTTTCGGCCAGGAGGGCTTCATCAAAGTTGGGGTCTTCGATGTCTGGAGGACGCAAAGAGTAGCCTACCAGGTCAATACACACACCTGGTGACCGCTTGAGTCTGGTTGGGGACCCACCTGATGTGCCAATCCAGGCAGGTACGACGTAGGAGTCTGCAGCCTTGGTTTTTTTGGACACTTGCCGTCAACTTCAGCCTGTTCAGCCTGTTCAGCCTGTTCAGCCTGAGCAGGGGGCCATCAGGGAGACCATGTCGAAGCACACGAGGAAGATGAGCGCGGGCATATGCAGCGGACACATTGGCTTCGTTTGCTGTGCAGCCTGGGGTGGAACTGCGGCTGCCGGAGGGATTCTTGGCTAGATGGGTTTCCTGCCAGAGAGCCAAAGGCTGCAACCGACAAAACAATGTGCGACTCCGCATTTCCACCGTTCCTGAAGACTCGATGCTACCTGTTGTGGTGGTAGAATGGTGGCGTAGGTAGGGACGGAGTGCAGGCAGCTGAAAGAATCGCAAGTGTTACCTGCTGCTGTTCGTCCGATGGCGCAAGGTCCAGGTTCCAGAAATGTAGATTTTAACATTTACGCATTCAAGCTCCAGAGCCCGAAGCCCGAAGCCCAAAACGCGCCATGCTGTGCGAAGGCAGAATCAGTGCTGAATCCGAGCTCCTCAGCCAAACATTTCCTTCCAGATAAATCGAAGAGCCACCACAAAAACGTCATGAAGTCAAGTCACACAATACATCCCCAGAGCTTTGCAGTCTTTCAAGATTTGGTGCCTACATTGTCCCTTTTTGTTCCTTTTCCTTTTCTCCTCTACAATCTTCCACAGGTGTTTGCCAGCTCAGAGCCGCGCACGACCCACATGGTTTCGTGAACAATCCAACGCGATACAAATACTCCCTTCTCACACTTCTAACTCCGCGCACATGTTAGCTCAACGCAGACGCATTCATGAAACGCCCCAGCAAAGAACCTTTTTTAATGGTTCCAGGGTCTTGTGTTCCAATCTTTTTTTGCAGATGCTTCCTTGTTCGCGAGCTATTAATAATATTCTGAACCTGTGTGGAAAAAATTAAACGGCTTGAGTCAGCTTGGGCAAGGGCTGCAGTGGCTGCAGCAGCGCACCTGCCGGGAGAGAGGCCATGAGGCCACTGGGACGCACCGTTCCACGAGTGAGAGCCAGGCAATGCGTATCCAGTTGGCTACGCCTACCCTGCAGTAGCGAGAAGCCGCATCGAACCGGACTTGTACGGGCCAACAAAGGGTCGTGGGGGAAGGGGCCTCAGGTTGCGCGGGCACCTTCGCCGCATTGGGACAGAAGCAGCAGGATCTACGTCAGAGAAAAGCATCTCGAACACGCGCGCTTGTCCACAACAGCTCCGGCACCTGCGGGGACCCCGTTGTTGTTTCCCGGATTGGTGGGGGCCATTCCCTCCAAAAGCACTGCCCACGTGGGTGCCCGGCACCCCTGTGATCGCAAGGATTGAACAGCCTGCTTGACACTGGGGGGCACACCGGTTACTGCAACATTCAACAAGGGGCGAAAAGGAGATCCTGCTGGCCTGCTTCTCCTCCAAAACGTGCGCGACGTACTGACAGGGCCTCTTGGGCGGACCGCAAAACATGGAGCGTCTTTTGTGGAGTGGACGTGACATAGACATAGATGTCATCCACAAAGGCATAGAGGCGCTCGCCCACACCATCTATGCTCAGCACCGTGTGCTGAACGCGAGCTGGAATGGTGCGCACGCCTGCCGAAACTGCTCGCCGATTTGCTGCGCCAGCGTGCATGTGGAACATTGTGGAACTCAACGGTGTCCTTGTGCGAGGTCAAGCGCTCAGCCGCTTCTCTAATTTGGCAGCTGGGTTTCGGCCCTGAACTGCTCGGACGATGCGAGTCTGCGTCCCAGGTCCAATCGGCATTCCACTTACTGGGAACGGGCGGCGCACTCCCAAGCAACACCTACGGCCAGGCCACTCCACTACTCGGGCCAGTCGCTTCATTTTGGCTCAAGAAAGTTCTGGTATGTCCTACACCACGCAACCCCAAAGGCTACGGAGCGAAGCAAGGGTGCGATGATGCAAAAGGGGGAGAACACTGAAACAGCTCACAAGCTCTCGCATCCTTTTGTTTCGGTTTGCCGGAAGTGTCTGTCAGCTGCCTCTGGGTCCGGTCGGCCTTTGGCCGAGGACAGAATCTTCAGAATGAAAGCTGAAGCTTGCTGACAGTCACAAAGCCCATTTCGTAGCGGAAACAGGCTAGCATGCAAAAGCGAAGAAAGTGTCATCAACAGTGACTCGCAAGCGGTGGAGAATGAGCACGCATGACTACGATGCCGGGCTGCCTGTAGGCCCTTTTCTGTACTCGCATCGAAGCAAAAGAAATCGGTGTGGGTGGGTGGGTGAACACAAAAGCGGAAAGCACTGGAAAATTGCATGTGTTGCGTGGTGTGCTTGCTTGAACCGCAGCGATGGGAAAGGACATAACCAAAACAACCCTGAGTAAACACAGCAACCATGCTGCTCAAAGCTCAAGGTTCTCATGGGCTCCTTGCTTCCCACGTGGTGCTTTGGGGCCCTTCGTTGAGTCCCCTAGCTTTCTTTCGCCATGTTTGACACTACTGGGGCCCGCCCAGTATAAAGAAACCGGTCCCCTTTAGGTTCGCTCCGCGCGTTCGCCCTTCTTTTGATGAAACACACGAGCTATGCCAAGGCGTGCCGAATGTGAGTCGGTGCTCCCGCCTGGGCAAACCACCATCCCGGGCCCGGACTTCTGTGCTGCTGGCCCTCGCTGCACTACCTCCAACACATAGGTGGTTTTTCGTCCCGTTGCTGCATGCCGCGGCTCAGACGCGGGGGCCCCCAATCCCCCCCTCATCCAACTCCAGCCCCAGCAGCTCCAGAAGCTCACCCACGCATCTTCGTCTGAGTCATAGGAGGATGCTGATTTCCTCCACCGCGCCAGTGCCATCCAGTGCCCATGGCACTCCACCGCCCCTCACTGCCGGCTTTGATACCCTGCAAGGCCCGCGGCTGCGTGCAGCTTTGGCTAGTCTCGACTCTTTCTCTGCCGAGGCTGTCTTGTCGCAACCTTGCTGTTGCTTCGAACCCCGCCCCCCCCTTTTTCCAAGCACAACTCCACTGACGACACGCCACGCTCCGAGAGCTGACTGACCCTGCCCGCCGCTTGCCGCCATATAAGCCCATGCCTCCCGACATTCTGCAGTTTGCGCCCGAACCGCCGGTTGCGCTATTGGCAGCAACAGAAGTCGAAATCACCCCTTCCAAATACAACGCACCGGTTCAAGCGAAGGCGAAAAAAACACTACCAAATCAGAATTCCCCAGTGAGCGCTGTGGGCGGGATGCCTTGTTGGACAGCACCAAAGCATGAACACTAGCTCAGTTTTGCGAAGAAACGCTAAGGTCAACCTCGCCGGCAAACCAATTATTGCGTGTTGGATTCCCATGGGCCAATCAAATCTTCGAAGCCCCTGGCTGGCCGAACACACCGAAATGTGCCGAACGTTCATCATCGAAGCCCAGACCGCAGGCACCAACAGCGTACACCGACGCACGTACCGCAAGTTCATCCTCGAAGCTCGGGATGGTTGAGAGCAAACCGAGACGCACATACTGAGGTTTTCTAGCGCAGTGCCTGAACGATCAGAGCGTAAAGCACATAAGCTGCGCGTAAGCTGCGCGTAAGCAGCAACCGTCTCCGTAAACCAAGCCAAGCAGAGCCCATTGGCATATTTGCGCAGTGCAACAAAGCTTTCGACCAAATCCATCATGAAAGCTTCTTCAAGGAATTGCAAGAGCAAGGAGCTCCCACTGAGTACATCGCTTTGTTGAGGACTTTGTATTCTCACCAAACTGGATCTGTCGCTCATAGCCGTGCTTTCCAATTCGACGCGGAGTGAAGCAAGGTGACGTCATCAGTCCTGTTTTGTTTAATGCTGGGCTTGAACACGCAATCAGGGTATGGAAGGCACATTTGCTTGACCACGGCATCAACATCGTCTCTACCGCGAATTTGACTAATGTTCGTTTCGCCGACGATTTAATGCTATATGCCATGGAGGCTGACTTGGCGTCAGTTGGCTTATCGTTGAATGCAGCGAAATTTTTTTTAACTCGACTTTTCACAACAACCATTTCGCCAGAGGTTGCTTACATTGACTTTGGCGGTGAAATGATGCAGGTTTTGAGTGACGGAGAGACACATATGTATTTTGGAGGCGAATCAAGAACAGGGCTGGCGCATCGTATCAGTGCAGCGTGGGGAAAGTTCCACAGGTTCAGATTCATACTCGTGAACAAGCACCTGTCAATCAAAGGCAGATTGAAGCTTTTCAACGCCATGGTCACTCCTACAGCACTGTTCGGACTTTCTACATTGGCACTGACGGCGCGACAGCTGGAACAGCTTGATCATCATTTTATATTTTTTACAAAGCCTTATAATATTAAAGGGGCCCCTTCAAAACCCCAAATTATTCGTTCGTATATTCTTTTCGTCCGTACTTACTGCCGCTGCGCTGACGGCGCTGCCGCACCTCCGGCGACTGCGGCTCCTAGCCGCTCGGGACACACCCATCGCAGCGGAGGAAAAAAGGTCCGAGAAAAAAACTGCTTCGTAACATCGTGAACGAATGAACGGGCCGTACAAATATAATGTCGCGGCCGTGAAAATGTGGCCGCGAGAATACTATTTTCCCAATCCTTTTACCGCATATTTTAATACTAGTTGACCAGCGCCCGTCGCGCTAAGATAGTGGAACGGGCCTGGGTGCGGGTGGCTCGGGAAGCGGTTGGGGCGGACGGGCAAGTCGTCCCGCAGCAATGGCTGGCCCACACCACGGCCCCCCACATGGACCCTTCTGACAGGCGCCGCTTGGACCTGGTAATCTACGGCGCCACGCCTCTTGGCGAGGTGCTGTGCTGCGACGCCACTCTGGTCTCCCCGCTGACCCGGACGGGCTTGCCGCAGCCCGGCGCCGCTGCGACGGACGGCGATGGACGGCGCAGGCCTGCGGGTAGCGGAGCGCCGCAAGCGCGACGCGTACCCGGAACTGAGCGCGGGAGGGCGCTGGTGGAGCCAACTGTCGGTGTCGGTCCAGCAGGCCGTCGCCAGCACGGCTTTGGGCTGCTCCTGGCCTGTGCCCCACCCCAGCCAGCGAGTTGGGCCCGACCTGGACCAGGTCCTGCACCTCGCTGACGCTCCGGGCAGATTTCGAAATTCAAGGACAACCGAACTGGAGAAGAGAACTAATGCCCCCACAAAAATAGAATGAAAGC